GTGGTGGTGTTAAACTCCGCTCTGTTCGTGATTCAGAGATGTTGGGCGTGTGTAAACCCGCTCTGTTCGTGATTCGAGATGGTGGTGGTTGTTTAAACCCGCTCTGTTCAGTGATTCAGAGGATGGTGGTCGGTGTTGAACCCATGCCTCTGTTCGTGATTGCAGGGCGAGGGTGGCGGAGGTGTTTAAACCCTGCTCTGTTCATGATTCAGAGATGGTGGTGGTGTTTAAACCCCGCTCTGTTCGTGATTCAGAGATGGTGGTGGTGTTTAAACCCCGCTCTGTTCGTGATTCAGAGATGGTGGTGGTGTTTAAACCCCGCTCTGTTCGTGATTCAGAGATGTTGGCGGTGTTTAAACTCCGCTCTGTTCGTGATTCAGAGTTGGTGGTGGTGTTTAAACCCCGCTCTGTTCATGATTCAGAGTTGGTGGTGGTGTTTAAACCCCGCTCTGTTCGTGATTCAGAGTTGGTGGCGGTGTTTTAACCCCGCTCTGTTCGTGATTCAGCGATGTTGGCGGTGTTTTAACCTCGCTCTGTTCGTGATTCAGCGATGGTGGCGGTGTTTAAACCCCGCTCTGTTCGTGATTCAGAGTTGGTGGTGGTGTTTAAACCCCGCTCTGTTCGTGATTCAGAGATGGTGGTGGTGTTTAAACTCCGCTCTGTTCGTGATTCAGAGATGTTGGCGGTGTTTAAACTCTGCTCTGTTCGTGATTCAGAGATGTTGGCGGTGTTTAAACCCCGCTCTGTTCGTGATTCAGAGATGGTGGTGGTGTTTAAACCCCGCTCTGTTCGTGATTCAGAGATGTTGGCGGTGTTTAAACCCCACTCTGTTCGTGATTCAGAGATGGTGGTGTTTAAACCCCGCTCTGTTCGTGATTCAGAGATGGTGGTGGTGTTTAAACCCCACTTTGTTCGTGATTCAGAGATGTTGGTGGTGTTTAAACCCCGCTCTGTTCGTGATTCAGAGATGTTGGCGGTGTTTAAACCCCGCTCTGTTCGTGATTCAGAGTTGGTGGTGGTGTTTAAACCCCACTCTGTTCGTGATTCAGAGATGTTGGCGGTGTTTTAACCTCGCTCTGTTCGTGATTCAGCGATGGTGGCGGTGTTTAAACCCTGCTCTGTTCATGATTCAGAGTTGGTGGTGGTGTTTAAACCCCGCTCTGTTCGTGATTCAGAGTTGGTGGTGGTGTTTAAACCCCGCTCTGTTCGTGATTCAGAGATGGTGGTGGTGTTTAAACTCCGCTCTGTTCGTGATTCAGAGATGTTGGCGGCGTTTAAACTCCGCTCTGTTCGTGATTCAGAGATGTTGGCAGTGTTTAAACCCCACTCTGTTCGTGATTCAGAGATGGTGGTGTTTAAACCCCGCTCTGTTCGTGATTCAGAGATGGTGGTGGTGTTTAAACCCCGCTCTGTTCGTGATTCAGAGATGTTGGCGGTGTTTAAACCCCACTTTTTTCGTGATTCAGAGATGTTGGTGGTGTTTAAACCCCGCTCTGTTCGTGATTCAGAGATGTTGGCGGTGTTTAAACCCCGCTCTGTTCGTGATTCAGAGTTGGTGGTGGTGTTTAAACCCCACTCTGTTCGTGATTCAGAGATGTTGGCGGTGTTTTAACCCCGCTCTGTTCGTGATTCAGCGATGGTGGCGGTGTTTAACCCTGCTCTGTTCATGATTCAGAGTTGGTGGTGGTGTTTAAACCCCGCTCTGTTCGTGATTCAGAGTTGGTGGTGGTGTTTAAACCCCGCTCTGTTCGTGATTCAGAGATGGTGGTGGTGTTTAAACTCCGCTCTGTTCGTGATTCAGAGATGTTGGCGGTGTTTAAACTCCGCTCTGTTCGTGATTCAGAGATGTTGGCGGTGTTTAAACTCCGCTCTGTTAGTGATTCAGAGATGGTGGTGGTGTTTAAACTCCGCTCTGTTCGTGATTCAGAGATGTTGGCGGTGTTTAAACCCCGCTCTGTTCATGATTCAGAGATGGTGGCGGTGTTTAAACTCCGCTCTGTTCGTGATTCAGAGATGTTGGCGGTGTTTAAACTCCACTCTGTTCGTGATTCAGAGATGTTGGCGGTGTTTAAACCCCGCTCTCTTCGTGATTCAGAGATGGTGGTGGTGTTTAAACCCCACTCTGTTCGTGATTCAGAGATGGTGGCGGTGTTTTAACCCCGCTCTGTTCGTGATTCAGCGATGGTGGCGGTGTTTAAACCCTGCTCTGTTCATGATTCAGAGTTGGTGGTGGTGTTTAAACCCCGCTCTGTTCGTGATTCAGAGTTGGTGGTGGTGTTTAAACCCCGCTCTGTTCGTGATTCAGAGATGGTGGTGGTGTTTAAACTCCGCTCTGTTCGTGATTCAGAGATGTTGGCGGTGTTTAAACTCCGCTCTGTTCGTGATTCAGAGTTGGTGGTGGTGTTTAAACCCCGCTCTGTTCATGATTCAGAGTTGGTGGTGGTGTTTAAACCCCGCTCTGTTCGTGATTCAGAGTTGGTGGCGGTGTTTTAACCCCGCTCTGTTCGTGATTCAGCGATGTTGGCGGTGTTTTAACCTCGCTCTGTTCGTGATTCAGCGATGGTGGCGGTGTTTAAACCCCGCTCTGTTCGTGATTCAGAGTTGGTGGTGGTGTTTAAACCCCGCTCTGTTCGTGATTCAGAGATGGTGGTGGTGTTTAAACTCCGCTCTGTTCGTGATTCAGAGATGTTGGCGGTGTTTAAACTCTGCTCTGTTCGTGATTCAGAGATGTTGGCGGTGTTTAAACCCCGCTCTGTTCGTGATTCAGAGATGGTGGTGGTGTTTAAACCCCGCTCTGTTCGTGATTCAGAGATGTTGGCGGTGTTTAAACCCCACTCTGTTCGTGATTCAGAGATGGTGGTGTTTAAACCCCGCTCTGTTCGTGATTCAGAGATGGTGGTGGTGTTTAAACCCCACTTTGTTCGTGATTCAGAGATGTTGGTGGTGTTTAAACCCCGCTCTGTTCGTGATTCAGAGATGTTGGCGGTGTTTAAACCCCGCTCTGTTCGTGATTCAGAGTTGGTGGTGGTGTTTAAACCCCACTCTGTTCGTGATTCAGAGATGTTGGCGGTGTTTTAACCTCGCTCTGTTCGTGATTCAGCGATGGTGGCGGTGTTTAAACCCTGCTCTGTTCATGATTCAGAGTTGGTGGTGGTGTTTAAACCCCGCTCTGTTCGTGATTCAGAGTTGGTGGTGGTGTTTAAACCCCGCTCTGTTCGTGATTCAGAGATGGTGGTGGTGTTTAAACTCCGCTCTGTTCGTGATTCAGAGATGTTGGCGGCGTTTAAACTCCGCTCTGTTCGTGATTCAGAGATGTTGGCAGTGTTTAAACCCCACTCTGTTCGTGATTCAGAGATGGTGGTGTTTAAACCCCGCTTTGTTCGTGATTCAGAGATGGTGGTGGTGTTTAAACCCCGCTCTGTTCGTGATTCAGAGATGTTGGCGATGTTTAAACCCCACTTTTTTCGTGATTCAGAGATGGTGGTGGTGTTTAAACCCCGCTCTGTTCGTGATTCAGAGATGTTGGCGGTGTTTAAACCCCGCTCTGTTCGTGATTCAGAGTTGGTGGTGGTGTTTAAACCCCACTCTGTTCGTGATTCAGAGATGTTGGCGGTGTTTTAACCCCGCTCTGTTCGTGATTCAGCGATGGTGGCGGTGTTTAACCCTGCTCTGTTCATGATTCAGAGTTGGTGGTGGTGTTTAAACCCCGCTCTGTTCGTGATTCAGAGTTGGTGGTGGTGTTTAAACCCCGCTCTGTTCGTGATTCAGAGATGGTGGTGGTGTTTAAACTCCGCTCTGTTCGTGATTCAGAGATGTTGGCGGTGTTTAAACTCCGCTCTGTTCGTGATTCAGAGATGTTGGCGGTGTTTAAACTCCGCTCTGTTAGTGATTCAGAGATGGTGGTGGTGTTTAAACTCCGCTCTGTTCGTGATTCAGAGATGTTGGCGGTGTTTAAACCCCGCTCTGTTCATGATTCAGAGATGGTGGCGGTGTTTAAACTCCGCTCTGTTCGTGATTCAGAGATGTTGGCGGTGTTTAAACTCCACTCTGTTCGTGATTCAGAGATGTTGGCGGTGTTTAAACCCCGCTCTCTTCGTGATTCAGAGATGGTGGTGGTGTTTAAACCCCGCTCTGTTTGTGATTCAGAGATGTTGGCAGTGTTTAAACCCCGCTCTGTTCGTGATTCAGAGATGGTGGTGGTGTTTAAGCTCCGCTCTGTTCGTGATTCAGAGATGGTGGCGGTGTTTAAACTCCGCTCTTTTCGTGATTCAGAGATGTTGGCGGTGTTTAAACCCCGCTCTGTTCGTGATTCAGAGAGGATGGCGGTGTTTAAACCCCGCTCTGTTCGTGATTCAGAGATGGTGGCGGTGTTTAAACCCCGTTCTGTTCGTGATTCAGAGATGGTGGCGGTGTTTAAATCCCGCTCTGTTCGTGATTCAGAGTTGGCGGTGGTGTTTAAACCCCGCTCTGTTCGTGATTCAGAGATGGTGGTGGTGTTTAAACCCCGCTCCGTTCGTGATTTCAGAGTTGGTGGTGGTATTTAAACCCCGCTCCGTTCGTGATTTCAGAGGGTGGTGGTGTTTAAACCCCGCTCCGTTCGTGATTTCAGAGGGTGGCAGTGTTTCAACCCCGCTCTGTTCGTGATTTAGAGATGGTGGCGGTGTTTAAACCCCGCTCCGTTCGTGATTTCAGAGGGTGGCAGTATTTAAACACAGCTTTGTTCGTGATTTAGAGATGGTGGCGGTGTTGAACTCCGCTCTGTTTGTGACATTGTCACTTTCTCTCTCTTGCTCGCGCTTCTCCCAATAACCGTCCGTACCTCTGAGTTTCTTTTCCCGTTGGCCTTGAATACCTTGCAGAAAGTCGCTTAATAATTGTAATGTATTACTATATATTTCTTCACATATAACATCTTTGTGAATGTGACAACCTCTTGCCTTACGCAGGGTAAATGAAGAATGTTTTTGCAAACAAACTACTTGATAGCTGCATCCAAACACATGGTGGAGATGTCGCAGGGTGGAGGGGTTGACGTGATGGTGGTGTTGGTATTGGTGTTGTTGATGTTGACAGTGCGATTGTGCTGCAGGGAGGAGCGGGCGCGGTGGGTGGCGCCACCGTTGTTGCGTCGCTCGAGGTGCTGCTGGCGATGAGCGACGCGGAGGTGAGCGACGCCATGGCGGCCATGGGAGCCGAGTATGAAGGGTGCGCTCGCCTGAATGCAGCCCTGGCCTCCTTACGTCTCGTGCAGAGCTACACAGGTATACAACAGCAGCAACGACTAAATATCCACAACTACTGCCATGTACCACCACAGTGGCAGCCGATGTCCCGACAGCACTTGTGCGAGGATCGGTCAATCTTTATGGAATTAATAAAAAGATTTGCTCCAATTGTGCCATTGGCGTCGCGTCAGTGAGGCAACGGACCTAGTTTGTAAACGTGGCCGAGTGGCACGCTGCGTGAGTTGGAGAACGACCGAGGGAGGGGTTTCCCACAGCACTTCTCCAAGAAAACCCGGTCAAGGCTCTGGCACTCTCGCCTCACAGCGCTAAGCCCTCTGGGTTCAATCCCCGACCCTGGGCGCCTTTCTGTGTGGAGTTTGTATTCTGTCCCTCCTGTTCTGCGTGGGTTTCCTCCAGGCTCTCTGGTTTGCTCCAATCACAAAAAAACATATGCAATGCAAATCGTATTGGCCAAAACATCACAATTCTGAAAACTTCTATAATTACTCATCAGGATTACACACAGCAGCAACGTCGCCTCCTCTCCCACTTCTAAAACTTGGCAGGACCCTCCCGATAAGATGCTTAAGTCTCAGGGACACTTTACTGGGTAATCAAGCGTGGGATGATAAATACAGTCGATCATCGATTATAATTATCTGACTGCTTCGGAGGGAGGGGGCGCCAGGAATAAAAAAAAACGCCAGATAATTATCACTCATCATTATTTAAAATAGATTATTTTTGGGCATTCTTTTATGACATGTTTTAGGTGTTGTATGTTTTTTAGTGTTAAAATGTTTACTATATGAAATTATCATAAATAAACATACATATAGACAAAAATAAATATACTGTAAAAAGTTACCGTATTTATTTTACCGTACTTACCACTCCAATCTCGAAGACTACATGGGGTGATGTACGTACTACTACGCTCTTGTTTCATGAACCATCTGTTGGACGACCACGTGTTTGACGATCGTCGGACTTATGCAGCCTTTAGACCGGTGCTCCAGCGAATGCCGAATTACACGCACTTTTTGCCAGATCGCACCGCGCATATTTTCTGTTTTTATTACTGTAGTTATTAGTCATGCAAAACGTATACACGTGCAGTATTTTCATTGTTTAAGTTGTATGTAGTGTACAATGTACTGTCTAGAATATTTGACACAGAAATCAAGAATAGCTACTGTTTTTGTCACGCACATGGTGCCGATCGCCGGATTGGTACAGCCTTTGGAGCAGTTATGCCAGTTTCACCAGATTGGCCCAAGACCGCCGGATAATGTTGGAAGCCGAATAATCGTGTGCCAGATAATCGATGATCTACTGTACAGGGACTCCTCAACTTACAAACATTCCACTTACAAAATTTCAGGGATACGAACAAACCTGTCCGAATGTCCAGTTGCCTGTTCGGAGTCGTAAGTTCAACCGCTGCGCAACAGATGGCGGTGGTGGCATCTACATCTGGTGTTTTGAGAATTGGGTCTTGACTGTCGTTATAGCCTTGGCCACCAGAGGGCGCGGTGGACCGCTGCCTCGGGATGCAATCTCAGCTTCCCGCTTGGTGCTCTGCGTCCGGCGTCGTTCGTTGCCTCTGCCGAAGGCAGCCGCCCGCGTCACTCAGACACACTCAGTCAAGCACTTGGGTGCACCTACACGGTCAAGATTGTAACCCTCGCTTTCAGGGGTTGGGGCTGGGGTGGCCACGCACATGCACAAGAGTGTTGTACTTTATTTAATATAATCACGTTTGTTCACCCACTTAAGCCTCGCTGAGTCTCAAGACTCTTTTCAAGAGGGTCCTGCCGAGTTTTTGGTGGTGACAGGGTGCGACGTCGCTCCGCGTAATCCCGGCGAGCTGGGAGGGGACGTCGCTGCTCGTCGCGAGCTCGGAGGGGTGCTCTGAGCACCACGACGGCCATCTCGTTACGCAGATGGCGAGGTACCGGCCGACGAGGTGGTGATCCGGTGGCCGGACGAGGGGCACGCCGAGTCCCCCATGGGCGTCACCGTGACCCCCCCGCCGCCATCGCCGTCGCCCCCATCACGCTCCCGCCACGCACACAGCAACGGCACCGTGCAGCTCTCTCCCGGTCAGAAACGCGCTCGTTTACTCGCTCGCTCACCCGCCCGCTCAACCGCTTGCTTACTCACTCGCTCACTCGTTTATTTTGTTGGCTCAATCACGGATAAATTCACTCACTCGCTCGCTTGCTCATTCATTCACTGACCCGCTGGATGTCTCACATTCACTCACTCGCCCTCTGTTCAGGCCAGCACGCCAGGCCATTGGTTAGCACATTGGTCCTGCAATCCAGCGGTTCCGAGTTATTCAATTGTCAGGTCATGTGTGCTGCGGTAAAGTGTGGGTACTCCCACGTTTTCCAAGATTTCTACCCAGCATGGAAGAGTAGCCCAAATACCCTTGAGAAGGGCTCTCAAGAACTTCCTCGAGTGGAAGCCCTTCGGCCAGTAGCAGTGTGAGCAAGCATTTACCGAGCTGCGCCTGTTGGATGTGGGTTGGTGGTGCACAGACACTGTGTTGTCCTTCGCACACTGGATCTTAGTTGGGTAGGGGAGGGACAGGCAGTGCCCAAGGGGTCTGGTAGTGAAGTCTCAGGTAAAGCAGCACCACCCCCGACTGATAAGACTGATAAGTCAGGGGTGGCGTCGCGGTGGCGTTATGTTAACTACCTCACTTGGTATACAGGAGGTTATGGGTTCGATCCTGACCCTGACGCCTGTGTATTTGGAGTTTGCGTTTCTCTCTCTCCGTGGTCACATGAATTTTTCTCTGGGTCCTCCGGTTTTTCCCTCCACATTTAGAGTTTTTTGGCTGCCGTAAATTTCCACGTGAAAAGCCACTTCGTAGAGCTAACATTTGTGATAGCCAGGTAGCTTCTGAAAAAGAGCTACATAGCTCAGTGGGGCCTTACCTGGTAAAATAACAGAATCGTTTTTAGTTTTAAGTGACTGTAAAACCGTCCCCCCACGGTGTGTCAGTGTCTTGCCGTGAGGTCGTGGTGAACCTCGCGGCAGGGACAGGCATCATGCGGATGTCCGCACGCTCCCTCCCCTCTCTCTGCAAGGTCAGTGGCCCGGACACCATGGCGCCGCCGGCTTTGTCGGCCGGTTTAATGGGCGCGTTGTCGCGGGCCTTGACGGCTCGGTGACGTCGTCTGTCACGGCGCGGATGACTTCCCCCGCGGTTTGGCTCACGACCCATGGCGCCGCAGTGGAGTGCTGCGGTGTTGCCCGACGGGTGACTGATTTGGTGGCGGCCAATAGAAAGGAACGAATCCTGGAATTTTGATTCCTCCCTTTTGGTGTGCGGTCCGGCGTGGAGGCAAAGGCGCAGCACCCGCAATGGCAGTCACGCGCCACTGCTGGCGGCAGAGCCGCCGCCAGGGGGAGCTCTGGGGGAGCCTCCATCACGAACGGCCCCAGTCACCCGCTGTGCTCACCGTGGCGCACGGCCTCCGTGGGTGGTCGGTGTGCTGTGCGTTTAGACGCTTCTCAAGCGCTCCGTCGGCATTGAAACGGCATTTAGAGTCATTTGGCTGCTGCTACAAATTTCCATGTGATGCGCCACTTCATTGAGCCATCGTTTGTGACCAGTTTGCTTCTGAAAAAGAGCTCTACAGCTCAGTGGGGCCTTGCCTGATGAAATAAGAATAGTTTAGTTTACTTTATTTAAACATCCTTTTAATTCCAGGCGTGCACCTCGACAGTCCTCTTTGCGCACTTTCCACCATTGTCGATTTGTTTGTTCTGGTGCATGTTTCTCTTCTGGTGCATGTTTCTGATCCGACTGTCATGGGAGGTAAAAACAGCAACGATTTAGCACAATTGGTATTCGCGCCATTCCTACAGCACCAGGATATCATCACGAATGCACTGCTGTGTTTAACACAGTCGTTTCATAGTCGAGGGCGATGTTGCTGTGTGTCAACCAACTTGAGAACTCTGTGGTGCAATAAAAAACAAAAACTAATTTAGACCTTGACACCAGCAAAAAGTGGCCTGTTCTCTTCGGATAACATCACGGGATCTTTAACGTCCACTGTGGACCGCACGACTGCGCGGTATTTCACGATTGAGTCACCTGCCAACGTGGAAACGTCTTCAGGCAAATTGGTACTACTCACTGCTTCCATCGTTAAGTGCGGCTCTGCGAAGAGCACTTGAACCGGTCCGTGACCCGTCACTCGCGCTGACGGTGACGTATCTGGGACACGCCGCCGCGTCCCGGCGGAGCGCAGTGAGCGACGCTTGAGTCGACGGGGAGGCCGTCCCCGGCGCCCGCTCGGGCCTGCCAATGGACGCGGGTGCCACCCCGTGGCTCATTTGCACAGAGAATGAGCCATTAACCGCAGCGGGGGATGGGATATTTGCCTGGCCGTGTCGCAGCCACGTCTCCCGTGCGAGTGCGGCTGAGACACAGAGACACGAATGGGGGCCGCGAACGCGACAAACTAGGGGAAGAGGGTGGCAGCGCAGAGGTGATACCCTTACCTCACAGCGTTAAGATCCTGGGTTTGATTCTTAACCTCGACGCCTTTCTCTGTGGAGTTTGTATGTTCTCCCCCTGTTCAATGTGGGTTTCCTCCGGGTTCTCTGGTTTCCTTCAATAATTAAATAAAACATCCTCAATGTAGCTGGATTTGCCCAAAGCATTCCGATGCTGAACGTTTTCCTGCACATTACTCAATAGGGATCACACACAGCAGCAGCAGCAGCAACATCGCCCCCCTGCTGTGAACACTTGGCAGGACCCCCCTTAAAAAGAAAGAGAGGTAAATGAGCATCACAATAATAATAATAACTTATCTCCATTGATTGCCCTGAGCCAGTGCTTAAAATCCCGAATGGTGATAGGCAGAATGGGTTCCCTCACCGCGATCTGAACTTGCAACATTACGGCTATGCCGCCGCGTACTCCGACTGCGTCGCTGCCCGGTCGAGTATAGTCCTGTCCATAGAGCACGTCTAGCATGGAGATGGAGCGATGAAATCAGCCCGTGTGACCAGTGCGGCAAATGTTATATTGTACACTCGGCTGAGAAATCAAGTTTGATCCCACTCAGCCTCACGCTGGCCTCATCCACTTTGAAGGAACGGACCCTACATCATTGAATCGGTCACTCGCAGTCAACGACTTGGCAGATTGTGAATGATCAAGCAGCAGGTGACGATTTTCAGTCGTTTAGAAATCAAATCATGAAAGTAGTCGACTGTCGTCCAGAGAATGTGCACATCAACCTACCTCTTAATTCCCTTGTTCCTTGCATTAATTTAATGTGATTGAATTCGACTAATTTAGATTGCGGTTTTGAACTATAATTGGATGTATGTAAACTACTAATCTATAAACTTCTTTTAATTTTACAAGGTAAGGCCCACTGAGCTATGTAGATCTTTGTCAGAAGCGACCTGACCACAAATGTTAGCTCAATGAAGTGGCTTATCATGTGAAATTTATAGCAGCCAAATACTCTAAACGCATGTTTCTAAATGTGGAGGGAAAAACCAGAGGACCCAGAGAAAATTCCATGTGACCACAGGGAGAGAGACACGCAAACTCCAAATGTACAGGCATCAGTGTGGGGATCGAACCCACGACCCCTATATACGAGGCGAGGTAGTTAACATCTTGCCACTGGCTGGTATTGAGAACCACTTCGTTAGAAGGAGACCGTGGTCGGCCTACTGGCAGGCTAATGCCAACATGCGAGCTGGTGCTGTGTGTACCGTGTTCCATGCAAGGACAGCTGCCACTGGGTGTCCCCTCGGCTAGATCGCAGCAGGGCATTGGGAGGGTTGAGAAGCTATGAGGTGCAAGGCGATTTGAGTCGCTGAGGCTTAGTAAGTGAGTGACCTCTGCTGCAAATCCTCCGTCCTCGCGGAAAGACGACGTGTGCTGCTGCCCCGCCGCCCCTGACCTTGAGGTATTGAGTCCGGACGTCCTACTCACGCAGCCCGTGATCAGTTTCCGAAATCTCGGCCGCCACCCCCCAGAGTCGTGCGACGCCGTGCGGATGCTGGGCCTGGCCAAGGCTGCCGGCGACGCCGCAAAAGGCTCGCGCTCACTGCCCTCCTCCCCGGACCTGGGCCGGCGCGGCACCGGCAACGCAGGTGCCGCCGGAGCGGCCACCCGACGTGGCCCCCGCCCATCCACCGGCAGCACGAGCGGCGGCAACGTCGGCGGCGTAAACTCTGGCACCAGCAGCACGAGCGTGGCCGGCAGCATCAGCGGCAGCAGCAACCCCAAGGTCCAATCGGCTGTCACGCCCCCGGCCTCCCGCAGGGCGGCGCTGCCCGCCGCCATGTCAAAGCACCAGCGGAGGCTGGGCTCCGGCTCGGGCTCGGGGCTGGGCCTGGGCGCGCTGGCGCTTTTGCCCAGCCTGCCCACCATCAGCCGCAGCAAGTCGCACGAGTCGCAGCTTCACAACCGCGTGGACGAGCCTCCTGTTACACCCAAGTGAGCGCCGGCCACAACCCCCCCACCTCCTCCCCCCCGCACTCCTCGCCCCCCACCCTTCCCCTGCCTCCCGCCAGATGTGTCAGCTGGTGTGTTGGACATGTAGTGCATTGCGTTGTCGCTTGCTCAGTGCCACTTTAAGATATTTATTTGAACTCTGTGACCCTGGGACTCGTTGCCCGCTTGAGGTACGAGCCTCCTGCCCGAGCCTTGCCCCTAGGAAGGGCACAGGAGGTGTGGGGGGGGGTTACTCCGGGTTGTTGGAGGGGAATCCTCTCGGGCAGGAATCTCAATTTCTGGTTCTCGCCACCCCACAGTGTCCAATGTACACTGCACGCACCTGATGATTAGTGATTGTGGGAATCTGCACCGCGGGGGGATGGGACAGGAGTTGAGGAACCCTGTCCCTGGGTGCTTCGTGCACCTCTCCGGGGTGGACCCACATGGGACTGGTGACTGGGATGCCTGCCCAGTGGCCATCCGGGTTATTTGCTTGGGCATTGGTTGCCCCATGACCTCTGCTAGGGTAATGTGTAAATCAGAAGCCATCCAGGTAGCGCCGTGGCCAATGGAGACGTCCGCCCCTGTTGATGGTCGTTTGAGCGCGGGAGCCATTTCACGTTGAACGACGCCGCAGTCCAGTGCAGCCACCAGGGCCCAGGCCCGTTGTCTCGGTTCCGCTAAACTGGAATGGGCAACCCGGGCTGCAACCGTACCCATAACCACCTGGGACGCATACTCGGTTCCTGGTGCACACACGGGCCTCGCCTTTTACCAAATCGACCGCAGTGCACCCGAAATCGTCAGGACTCAGATGCTGAAACTAAACAACTATTCAAAACTAAACTATTAATTTGATCAGGTAAGGCCTACTGAGCTCTTAATTTTTTTTTTTAAGCGACCTGGCCGCAAATGATAGCTTAACGAAGTGGCTTATTACGTTCATTTTTTTATCGGCCAAACAAATTTTTTTAGAACTGCATTTTGTGTTTAGTTGTTGTCCTTCCTCTGCACCTCCGATTAGCACGGTTGGCTATGTACGGTGCGAAAGAAGTGTTTCTAAATGTGGAGGGAAAAACCTGAGGACTCAGTAGGCTTGAGCCTAGATAATGCTTGGATGGGGCGACCACCAATGCGTGACAGATATTATCGGCTGCTGCGGAGCTACGTCGTGAGCTACGGCGAGCACGATTGGGGTCGCTGACGTCGGCACTGTAGAGAGACAAAGGCGGCTGGGCGCACCGTACTCCTCCCGAGTGCGCCCCCGTTGGCGAGTGAGCGCTCGTTAACGGCGCGTGCCCGTGGGCAACTGCCACGGGGCTAAATGGCGGCCGTTTTATCTCTGCTTTGAATCGGTAATTGAATTTAGGAGCGTCTCATTAGGTGGGGCGAGGGGCACGGAGGGCCCATGGTGCTCCATGACCCAGCGCGCTCATTAGCGGCGCCAACGCCGCGCCGTTCCGCCCCGTTACCTCCCCCCCCACCACCACCACTACAACGCGCTACCAACTCAGTGACTTGAGCTCATGACTAACATCACTGGCAAATATCTGGGCCTCTCCTAGGTCGACGCAGCCTCAAAATAAGTAGCTGGCATAGTGTAAAAACGTCAGCAATTGGCAAACAAAGGTGCCCTGGCGTGATGCTGGCCACCCACCCTGTGCCATTCTGGCCTTCATAGATGCTTGGTAACAGCACTTGCCCGAACAGCCCGTGTGGGCTACACGGGGGATCTGGTGGCGTGTCGTGCACGCCGAGCAGTGAGCGGAAGCGGCGAGCGGTGGTATCGTCACCTCGACGTCCACGCTGTTGGTGTTGAGGGGCGGCCATTGGGTAGTGGAGCACCCTCGGCCCCCCCTTTCCCCCCCGCCCCCTCCACCACCTCGGCTCCCTCGGCCCCCTCGGTCCCCTCCGCCCCCTCTGCCCCCTTGGTCCCTTCGCCCCCTCGGCCCCCTCTGCCATCCTGCGAGTAATTGGAGCGCGGAGCGTGATGAGCGACCTTTAAATGGGGCGGGAGGGGGAGACGTTAAATGTGATGAAAGCAGAAATAAATGTGTCGTGCTGTACAAGGCTGTTCTCAGTGCGAGGGCACATTAATTGATGTGCATCTGCTCGGGATTTTAACAAATAATTCAGGGCCTTTTTTTCAACAACAACAATCGCTGCTGCCATGGCTACCATTGCCGTGAACTTCACTCCTCGATTCCTCCACCCATGCTGGGGACTGTCAGACGCGTCCCTGGCATCCATCCTGCGTGCAACAACCACCACCACCACCGCCCTGCAGCTTGCAGCATTCTCATTCTGCTTCTTACCTCCCACTGGTCTGGAATTCCTCCCTTCTCCCTCTGTCTCCCCAAGTTCCTTGTCATAACGTCAGGAGACATTCATTATTATCTCTCAAGCCTTCAAACGTGCCGTTGGTTGCCGTCCACTTGAAATTTTATTCTGGGCCTGACCTCAGCAACGGTGGTTGATCAACGACGAGTCGGCCTGTCGCCGCATCTTGCGCCACTAGAGCTCTGCTGCTGCATGTGTTTGATTCTGTGCTTCTGTTATCAGAATCAGAATATTTATTCATACTGGAGGAATCTGATGAGCTATAAAGTTACAACAACACACAAACCAAAAACAGCTATCAGTGCAAAGTATCGGAAAGGTAAACAAATCACTCAAGTAAAATATTAATTCTTTGTATTTTACCAGGTAAAGCCCACTGAGCTATTAGCTTCTTTTCTTGGAGCAACGTGTCTACAAATGATAGCCCAACGAAGTGGCTCAACATGTGGAGATATATAGCAGCCAAGCAATCTAGGCAGGCCCCGCACTTTTCTTCTTTAGTCCCTGCCTCCTTCCTCTATCGGTCCCCAGTTGCCTGACCGCTCACGCCGCCACTCCTTTCTGATGAGGAGATGCAAACTCAGAACTTTGCGATTGCGAGTCGATCGCTGAGTCAGAGCCTCCTCCACGCGGCTGCTGGCAACTTGGCTTCGTCTGAGACTCACCAGAAACAGTGTGGAGAGAGAGAAATGTCTTGGAGGGGAATATTTACCCTGCAGGATAATCTCTTGACGCTGCATAAACAGGGGATGCACGTGAGTGGATGTGCACGCGTGCGCGTTTCGGATATTTGTGCCGGTGTTGAGGTGGCAGGGTCATGTCGGAGTCACGCCCTGCATTGCAATATCATCGACCCGACCGCTGCCCCGCTACACGACCCCTGTTGGTGTTTTGGCGTCTTAAACTGCATAATAATAATCATAGAAATGATATTCTTTGGGTCTTTCGGTAAAGTCACGTAGATACCGAAAGACCCAAATAATTTGAATTACTGCAGTAACGTAAGCTTTAAGTCAAGACATATCAATTATGTAGCATATTTGGTATTTGCTATCGCGAAGAAAGGTGGCGCTGTGATTCATTAAGTCTGCTGTGTTTTTGCAGTCGGGGAGCGACGATGCTGTGCCTTTAATCCCGGTTGAGTCATTTGCAGGGGATATTTCAGCATTGGGCCAATACCGGTTACATTGTTTATTTTATTCTTGCAATGGGAGGAAACATGAGAACCCGGGAGGAAACCCGTGCAGAATAGAGGCACCCAAGTTGGGAATCGAACCCGGGTGCTGCCACCTCTGAGCCGCCCCAATGAATGCACGATTACATTCATGCGCAACTTGTGACATTGACTACAGATTTTGCGGTGACTAAACCTCGCAACACACAAGAGAATTCCGCTTCGAAAAATACAGCGCGCAGGACACGCACGCAACGTGACAGCCAATTCACCGCCACTGGTTTTGGAAAACTCAGCAATTTCCGTAGAGCACTTGAAGGCAGAAGCGAGGTACTTGTGATGGGCCGGCGGAGAGAGACACTCAGCGCTTGTTTTGTTTGGTCCCAAACTCGAGTGGAAGCATCCACGAGCAGCATTGGTGATTGCGACCTTTCCCGTGAGACGCTCCCCACCGGGCAGTCACTCGCTGCCCGACGGAGAGCGCTGGGCGTGCTCGGAGTGTGCGTTATTAGTGATTAATTATTAGTGTTCCGCAAGGCACGGAGTTACAGGCGAGTGGATGGGCATTTTGGTCAACGGATGGGTCCGATTACGTTAGTGTGTACGGGTTGGTCAATGCTGTTAGGTGTGGATGGGTTTGTGCGCGTGAGTGTGTGAGGATGGGTGGTTGCGGGTGCCTGTGGGTGTGAGTGGTTCGGTGTGGATGTGTGGGTGTGTACATGTCGGTGTGTGGGTGGGTGTGGTGGGTGTGTGGGAGTGGTAGGGTAGTGGTTAGTGTGCTGCGCTACGAACCTGGCGACCTGAGTTCGATTCCCGCTCACGGCCATCATCAGTGACGATTATCTGAACCAGTCCTGAGCCTCCCCTAGGTCGACTCAGCCTCACATGAGGACCTGGTGTGTGGGTGTGTAGGTGTCGGGGTGTAGATGTGGGTGGTTCAGTGTGGGGTAGTTTACTTTTGTTGTAATTCAACGTGAGTTGGTGACCACAGGTGCGATGCTCAGAGCCACTCCTGATTTGCAGCCGTGATGATCATTAAATGAAGAAGACGTGGTGGAGGCAGCTCCTCATCTGCCACCTCCTCCACCCCCCCTACTCCTCCACCTCTTCCGCTAGATGCTCGGCCAGAGTGCTGGATCGGCGGTGAGCTTAGGCTCTCGTAAACTTTTACGTCGTCAAATGCACAAATCTCAGATCAGATCTCAGAAGCTAAGCAGAACTTGGGCCTGGATAATAAATTGGACGGGCTTCCGCCACAGCCGGTTGCTATATGCTGCTGCTGGTGCCGCTGCTTCTGCGCTACGTTGCGGGGGCAGAAGAGCGCAGTGCAGCACGATGCACTCTGCCACGTCCATGATCCCCCACCTTCAGCGACCCGGACTGACCGGTGTGTTAAAGTACGGCCAAACGGCCCCTACGTCCCGCACAGAGCGAGAAGGCCATCACTCAGCGGTGGATTGACAAAAAGGGATGCGCTCGGACAACCCTGTCACTCATTGATCCGGGTTCTGTATCCATGATGGCAGAGAGGCGAGGCTGGCAGAGTGGTAGCTGGGAGGCGCAGTGGGGACACTCGCGCCTTACAACAACAAGGACTTGGGTTGTAATTCCTGACTCTGCGTCGAGTTTGTATGTTGTCCCCCTGTTCTGCATGGGTTTTCTCCAGGTTCTCTGGTTTACTCCGATAGTGAAAAAACATAGACAACGTAACTGGCATTGGCCATACATCTAAATAACTTGCAAATTACTCGATTGGGATTTATATGACCTTGCTTCACCACGGTAGTAGTCAGTGTGACTGCCGTGGTGGAGGATCGTCGAAGTACAGTAGAGCAATGGATTTTGCTACACTGCCTTCTGGTAAACAGCCAAGAATTGTTCATAATCACAATCTTTACTTATCCTGGAGAAATCCGGTGAGCTCTGAAGCTCTTTTTCACTGTTGTCCAGTAGCTGTTAACTAATCGATGGCTGTGTTTAATCATGAATTGACTCCGGGTGCTGTAGTAAATTATCGACAGCGTGGATGGAACTGTTGGGACGGCTCCAGCTCATGGGCTCGTAGGCGGCTCCAACTCCGCGTGAAGGACCGGACGAGTCAAGCGCAGTCAGACAGTGAAGAGCGCTGACTCAGAGCGGCCCTCTTGGGGAAAAAGCCGCACCCTCTCCTCCGCGCCGTCTTTGCAGGAGCTCCTCTGTCGGCCTCTCACTCCCCGCCTCTCCACTCGACGAGGGCCCTGTTGAGCTCTCCTCTGCGAGTTGTGTTTTGTCCCACCGTGACGCACCGGCCGCTCGCCACCGTGGCATTCCCCTCGTAGCCTTCATAGAGATGTTAACTACCTCACCTGGTATACAGGAGATCGTGGGTTCGATCCTAACCATGACGCCTGTTGTATATTTGGAGTTTGCGACTCTCACCAGTGGTCGCGTGGATTTTGTCCAGGTCCTCCGGTTTTTCCCTCCACATTTAGAATCAACATCATGCGTTTATTTGGCTGCTGCTATATATACATTCCACGTGACAAGCCACTTCGTTGAGCAATCATTTGTGGCCAGGTCGCTTCTGAAAAGCAGCTATATATAGCTCAATTACCCTTACACCTGGTAAATTAAAACATAGTTTGGTTTATAGTTTTAGTTGAGTGTTCAGACGTTCGTCTCGAGGCCGCCGAGTGAGCCAGCGGACAGCTTCAGGAGGAGCCCGGTGAACATCTGGAGCACTGCCACCAGCGAGCGATGGAAACTACGGTACCGTGCAGGATTTCGACCCTGCGTGGAGATTCAGACTCGCACGGAGAGACCCTTGGGTGTTCCGTAAGAATTGTACTCTCGCAGCCGCCTACTTCACAGTCGGTGGATGTTAGGGATACCCTTGACGTCATTCACAAACGTTAGGCCCTCGTGTGTCCCGGCGGCAGGGTCCAGAATTGCCAAGTGCAAAAAATTTGACCCGCAGTTTATACTCAAATACGTGGACACAGCCACGTTAGCCCCTACTGTGATGCTACAGCAGACCATGTGACACACATCAGGGATAGCCCTGAGCCATGAGAATGAGAGCCATGAGAATACAGTTCCAAATGTTCTACATTATCACTACGCTTCGTATTCTTATCTCGGAAGCTGCTCGCGTCCGTCTCACCCGTGCCGTTCCCTCCATCTGTGCCGACCGCCCCCCCCCCCCCCCCCCCACTTTACCCCCTTGCTCAATTAGGTCGCCCAAGAAGCGCCCTCCGTTACTGAACCTGCTGCTGGGCGGCGGTGCCGTGAGCTGCGAGAGCCTCCCCCAGCAGCAGCAGCAGCAGCAGCGGTCACCCCTCTCCGGGGGTCACCGGGCATCCGACCCAGCCCTGGCCACAGCCTCACCACCCGGCGCTCACACCCACCCCTCCCCCTCCTCCGCGGGTCAGAGTGCACCCCACTCGCTTATTCACTCACTCACTCGTTCACTCACTCGCTCGTACTCCTTGTTCACTCACTGATCCACCCACCACCGACTTGCACCATCATTCACTTCCTTGTCTGTCTACCCACTCACACACCTACCACTCACTGCCTTACGCACCCACCCACTGCCTCACTCACCCACTTACACACCTACCCATGCACTCACACACCTATCCACTCACTGCCTCACATACCCACACACCCACTCGCACACCTACACACCCACTTACACACCTACCCACACACTCGCACACCTATCCACTAACTGCCTCACCCTACCCACGCACTCGCACACCGACACACCCACTTACACACCTACCCACGCGCTCACACACCTATCCACTCACTGCCTCATCTACCCACCCACCCACTCACACACCTACCCACCCACTGTCTCACCAATCCACCCACTCACACACCTACCCACCCACTTGTACACCTACCCACCCACTGCCTTGGCTACCCACCCACGCCCACACCTACCCACCCACTCACACACCTACCCACTCACCCACTCACACCCCTACCCACCCACTGTCTCACCCACCCATGCACTCACACTTCTACCCACCCAGTTACTCATCACCACTTTCTTACGTGCTTTCCCAATCACTAGTTCACTCACTCACTTACCCACTCACCAACCAACCCACTCACCCACCCACCCGCATGGCCGCCCCTCACTGATTGACAGGAGGGGGGTGCTGGGTTAATTGTTAATTGACATGTCAGCTCTGCCAGGGCACCGCCGGCACTCATCGCCATCTCCACTTAGATTGAAGGGGCCTCGCTTGGGCGGCTTTTGATAAATAAGCCGTGGAGGGGAGCAATGCGATTAAATTAAATCCACACCGCATCGAGGGAAGCGATAATGAACACGAATAGGTCACAGCCGGGGTTGTGATTGACTTGGCAAACTCGGGCTTGTAGAAGCGCTGCAACGTTTGGCCCATTATTTCCAGCTTCGACAATGTTTTGTTTTAATCCGATATTGTCCCAAAGTTAACTCCCGGTGTTTGAATGGCGGTGCTCGCAGAAGACGTTTGGAAATTAAGGCCGGGATAGGGTAAGCAACTTGGAGGTTTGAAATGGACTAAGGCTGGCGCGGGTTGTGGTCGCAGTCATCTGTCGGCCATACGAGGGCCCCTGGGTTCTGGCCGCGCATCAAGCGTCCTATTCCCTTACGCTCTCCCCACACATTATTGGCAGCGGAGTCTGAAAGCTTGAGGGAGGAAACGGTCGCCCCGTGGCCTTGGCACCGCCTGGCTGCTCGCCCTGCTGCTGCCCTCTTACACCCTATAGTAGTAGGTTTTTACCCTTTTAAACTGGTACAAAACTGACACCTTTATTCAAGGCATCATGTTTGCAATAACCACAACACAAGTAGTCAAAAAAGCAAAAAAAAAACTCTGATAATGATGGATAGAACGGGTGTGTCACGGGCTAGAGGAGAGATCAAATGGTGTGGTACAAGATGAAATGGAGCTGAGTGGACTTGTGAATGACTGGTAACAGTGGTGTCAAGATCGGCCTCGATGGAGGAGGCTCGTCAAGGACGCTGCTACTGGGCAGTTGGAGGCAGTCGCCCTCAACAGTGGAGGGCAGAGGAGCGACGCTCACAACAATGAGCGGAGGGCCGGGCCGCTAAAACACAGCAAGTTTTCACTGTAGGGGGCACAGGTGGTTCATCTGCCAGTCATCTCAGTCAGTCAACGCATGGCACCTCGGTCTGTCCCGTGATCTCCTGCCAGTGGGCGTTCTAAACCTCACGTGGCCTTAAAGTGCACATAGCCTGGCACAAGCGCCGTGGTGACATCGCCACCACTTAGTGGCCAATGGCGGTTGTTGTTTTTATGTAGCATGTCTCTGTGTAGTGTGTAGCATGTGTGTGTCTCTGTGTAGTGTGCAGTATGTGTGTGTCTTTGTGTAGTGTGCGTTTGTCTATGTCGTGTGTGGTGTTTAAACATCGGCACTGCGGAGACAAAAGCAACCGGGCATGGTGCTTGCCACCCATCCCCTCGTTGCTGTGCCGGCGTTCATAGGTGGACCTTTGTCTTGTTACGTGCGTGTGTTGCCCCCCTCACCTCTGCACCACAGACTCGCTGGGCGTGCCGCGCTGGTCCCCACAGAACCATCGCCGTGACCTCGTCAACTCCATCAAGCACAGGTGGCCGCACCTCTCTTTCAATCACTCATTCACTCACTCATTCATTCGCATAGTAATTCATTCAATCACCTATTCAGTTGCGTTTCATTCATTCTTGTGTTCATTCACGTAAGTACCAATTTATTATGCAAAGCACTAATTTATTTACTTAATCTCTCTATCCTTCATGCATTCAGTCTCATTATTTTTCTAATTTCTTCACTCATTCAGTTCACTCATTCATTATATTATTCATGTGATCACTGATTCATAATTTATCATTCAGTTAACTTCTTTATTACCTCACTCATTCACATATTGATGATAATTACACAGCAAGCCACTCACTTATAATTGCCAAGTTACAGATGCATGATCTAATTCATGTAATTAACTTGCACGATAATGCATTATTATATTATTTACCTAGGTACCTCACCCGAGTCCCAAGACTCTTATTCAGGATGATCCTGCCAAGTGTTTGGAGTAGTGGGCCATGTTGTGACACCAAATCCATTGTATAGTTTTTTAGCAATGGGAGGAAACCGGAGACCCCCTGGGAACTGCAGGCAGAACAGGGGGAGGGAATACAACCTCCAAACACTCACTCTCACACAGGGAGAGGGATGTACGAAAACCAGTCACTTGTTGCTGTGAGGCATGAGATTTACCACTACGGTGCCACTGCCATCCTGCCAGTTTGATTTGAGCTCGCTCGCTCACGTATCCATCAGCTCGACCTCAACTCCTTCATCGTCACTGCTTGTGCGGCTCCCTGCCAGGGCCTCTGTGACTTTTCTCGCCTCATTAGCCTTCTCCCTCTCTCTCCTTCTCTCTCCCTCTATCTCTCTCCCTTTCACTCCCTCCCTTTCCCTCTCTCTCTCACTCTCCCTGTGTGCGTCCATCTCCACCCTCACTCGACCGCCACCCCCCCCTCCCCAAGCTTCACCCGCCAACTCGCCCGCAGCGGCACTGCTCCCCTCGCCCCTCGTCCGCACCCTGGGAGCCCCCCCCCCCCCCCCCGCGGTGGGAAACTCTCCCGGCGTCTTCATGACGGCTCCGTCGGCGAGAGCCCCCGCGGGGAGTGACGCGGTCGCGGTTAAACCAACGCCGGTGCACGGCGCGTTCCGCCCCGGCTCTCACGCCGGGTATCTGCGCGCAACGGCTTCGACCCCAGTGCTCAATCATGATGATCATTTATGCGCAGAGTCACGGGGGGGGCCCTCCCTCCCCTCCCTCCCCTCCCTCCCCTCCCTCCCTCCCCTCCTTCCCCTCCCTCCCTCCCCTCCGGCGCTCGTGTTAAACACGATGGCACCCGCAGTTTGAGACGCTGCTCACCGTGGCGTGGTGGGGAGCGGCGCACGGGACTGGCAATTCCAAGGTCACCGATTCAGTTTCATCTCCAGGAACGGCAGTCGAAGCAATGGGGGCGGGGCATGGGGGTTTCTGAAATCCTCCCCACCACCTTTGTCCCGCCCAGCAACGTAATTTAGTTCACTACGGTAAAGTCGATCGGTGGGTCACGCGGGGTAAATTGTGGCTACTCCAACCTCTTCCAAAACATCTGGTCGGTGTGGAAGAGTAGACCAAACACTCTCCATAGGGGCTCTCTAGAGTGACCTGAGCCAGCAATTGCAAGGGCTGCGCCTTTAGCTGATATGCAGCTATAAGTGGGTGGGAAAGGCTTGAGCCATCGGCAGCATCCTTGTCACCGTCGGTGAAACGCGACATCTCGGTGCCCAGTGAAGGCCGCTGGGAGCTGGCGGGTGTGGGGGGGGGGCTGCTGTGTCAGTGCCTACGGGACGGGAGGTCACGGGGCGTGGATGGATCGTCACTCGCGCCGGCTCATTAGCGAGTGGCGATGTCACCTTGCTCCGTCTCTCTGTCTCCCCGTATCCCTCGCCAGGCTGTCAGGGGCTGCAGCGGACAGGGTCAGGGGTCGCGTTAAGGCACCGGGATGGCCTTGTGTGTGTGTGGTCGGGTGGTAGGGGAGGGGCAGTGGCGTGTCACGTGCGTGTTGAGTGATTGATGAGTGTGACTGTTGCGTGAGTGGTGAGTGTTCAGTTTTGTGTGGGTGTTAGTGTTGAGTGTTGCTTGAGTGTTGTGTGAGTATTTACACTATGAGACCTCCTTTACCAGTGCAAAATATAGTAATGGGTTTTTACCCTTTCAACTGGTACGCCTTTTGGCATCATCTGGTCCAACACCAATGGAGACTAGGCTCTAAGAAAAGCTGTCTCAGGTGTGGACCAATCAACTTCAAGGACAGTGCATATCATTATCATTATCAGAGTTGTTTCTTTTTGTTTGCCTTTTTAAATTCTTTATATTAAGTTCGCTTGCTTGCTTGCTTGCGGGCTTGCTTGCTTACGACCGTGCAAATCTTTAGGTCGTTTTTAACCCACTTCCCGTGATCCAATCGAGCTGACATTTTCCACACAGACTCGTTGTGCGTGACAATGAATTTTCGTGAAAAAATGTTTTCAAAATTTTACACTGTTTAGGGAAATTTTTAAAAATATTTAATTACCAATTGCTTAATGCTGGCAGACAATCATCTGACCCATAGGTGGCAGCCATCTCAAGCCAGAGGACGAGAGGACTCTAGCCGCCACGCATATAAAGGATTTAGAGTGAAAAACTTTGTTTTTACGGTTTAATTTTTGACTGCTTGTGTTGTGGTTATTGCAAACATGATCCCTTGTATAAAGTGTCAGTTTTTGTACCAGTTGAAAGGGTAAAAACCCATTACTATCTTGTGTGAGTGTTGATTGTGAGTGTTGTGTATCAGTGTTGTGTATTGAGTCTTAGTGTTGGGTGTGACTTTTGAGTGAGAGTGTTGAGTGTGAGTGTTGCCTGTTAGTGTTGTGTGTTGAGTGTTGTGTGTGAGTGTTGAGTGTTGCGTGCTAGTGTTGTGTGTTGAGTGTTGTGTGTGAGTGTTGAGTGTTGCGTGTTATGTTGAGTGTTGTGTGTGAGTGTTGCCTGTTAGTGTTGAGTGTTGTGTGTGAGTGTTGTGTGTGAGTGTTGCCTGTTAGTGTTGTGTGAGAGTGTTGTGTGAGGAGTGTTACTTGTGAGTGTTGCGTGGAGTGTTGAGTGTGAGTGTTACGTGTGAGTGTTGTGTGTTGAGTGTGAGTGTTGTGTGTGAGTGTTGCCTGTTAGTGTTGTGTGAGAGTGTTGAGTGTGAGTGTTGAGTGTGAGTGTTGAGTGCGAGTGTTGAGTGTGAGTGTTACGTGTGAGTGTTGTGTGTTGAGTGTGAGTGTTGTGTGTGAGTGTTGCCTTTTAGTGTTGTGTGTGAGTGTTGCGTGTGAGCGTTGAGTGTGAGTGTGAGTGTTGAGTGTGAGTGTTACGTGTGAGTGTTGTGTGTTGAGTGTGAGTGTTGTGTGTGAGTGTTGCCTGTTAGTGTTGTGTGTGAGTGTTGCATGTGAGTGTTGAGTGTGAGTGTTGAGTGTTGCCTGTTAGTGTTGAGTGTGAGTGTTGCCTGTTAGTGTTGTGTGTTGCCTGTTAGTGTTGAGTGTCAGTGTTGCGTGTTAGTGTTGTGTGTGTGTTGAGTGTTGAGTGGGAGTGTTTGTGTTGCATGTGAGTGTTGAGTGTGAGTGTTTGTGTTGTGTGTTGAGTGTGAGTGTTGCATGTGAGTATTGCATGTGAGTGTTGTGTGTTAGTGTTGAGTGTTGCGTGAGTGTTGTGTGTGAGTGTTGGGTGTGAGTGTTGTGTGTTGAGTGTGAGTGTTGTGTGTTGAGTGTGAGTGTTGCCTGTTAGTGTTGAGTGTTGCGTGTGAGTGTTGAGTGTTGCGTGTGAGTGTTGCGTGAGTGTTGAGTGTGAGTGTTGCGTGTGAGTGTTGCATGTGAGTGTTGCGTGTGAGTGTTGAGTGCTGTGTGTGAGTGTTTAGTGTTGCGTGTGAGTGTTGCGTGAGTGTTGCGTGATCACTGTGCAGGTCAGCGCACACATTGGCAGCAGCGTCAGAGTCACGACTCGAATCAGCCTCGTTTGGTGTCTTCGCTTGCAGCTGTGAGTAGTCGCATGGAGAGAGAGAGAGACAGCAGGAGAGAGTGAGCAAGGGAGATAATGAGAGTAACATAAGCGAGGACGATAGTGAGGGGTCGTAGAAGAGCGATCCGGAGTTTGCTAGAGGAGAGGAAGAACATTTGCGATGAGGTGAAAGCGAGTTGAGGTGGGAGAGATGAAGACGAGGAGAGAACATTTTTGGAAACGCCGCCCCCTACTGTGCAGATGAAGAGGCCACTTCAAGAAGTGTGCGAAGGAGCCCTCCAAATGAATTCCCAGGGCGCACCACCCGATATCACGGTCCGAAGAGAATTGGGGAAAAAGACAAGATGCAATGTCACAAGCCACACATATTCGACATTGCTTTCTAGTCACGGCGTAGGCCGGTGTCGGCTGTGCTTGATGTCGGCTACAGCCATATTTGCCACTGTGAATTTGCAAGTGTCATTTGTCCATATAGAATTTGTAATTATGGCTATTATAAAATATGATGTGCGTAGTACTCAATTAGAAGCAACACCTCCCCCCAACTGCGTAAATCCTGGCGAGGCTCTCCTCACAAAGACTCGGTGAGGCTTTGCAGGGTAACGAGCGTAAGGATGTGCCGCTCGTGGCTGTGCCCGCTGCTTGACCATGGCGAGTGCGACTTGTGTTGCATAAAATGTATCTTCAAGTCATGGGATGGTTCGATTTTCCATAACGACTTCTGACTGCCTCTCCTGCAAACATAATTGTTGTTCCTGCAGCATTGTTTTTTAAATTTTATTTTGCCATTTTCCGATAACATTTATACACTCTTTTCTTTTTTTAATTCTCAGTTCGTTCCTATCTCGCCTTAGCCCTGCCCAGCAGAGTTAAACTTAGTGCCACTCCTGTTCACTGCAAGTCTACTGGGAGCGTGCGATGCATATGTTTATCGTGAGATGAGGGGCAAGACTTGATGGAAGATGCCGGCCTGAGACAGAGCTGTTCCTGAAGGATGAAAGCCAGAGGGGAGGCTTGAAACCCTGGTGTAGGAACTGTGTTGGCGAGCGGCCCTTCAGGGGCGACTGCCGTGCGGTTGCGCCATCGGTGACCGCCAGGTCGCGACCTCGATCTGGCCGTCGTTCACCCACTGGCAAGCGCTGGCCACGCGAGCTTGCATCCTGCTCACGCTGCCGTTGCTGCTGTCGCTGCTGCTGTTGCCGCCCCGACCTCCTCCGTGCCTCCACCAGGTTCACCACCAAGACGTGGTGGCGCTCGGAGGTTTGCAGCGTGTGCGAGCGTGGCATCATGTTCGGAGTTCGCTGCAAGAACTGTCAGTGAGTGGACGCGCACCGCGGGCAATGGCAGCGCTTCGGCGTGTTGACGCGGCGAGGCGCACCCTGAACGAGGGAAAAAAAACTACGCATACGCACGCGTCCCGCCGCTATTTCCCAGCGCGGGCGTTTGCTCAGAGGTGCTTAATTAGCGGTAATAGCGTTAAGTTTCAAGCTGCACTGGGGGGAGGGGGCGAGTCGTTAAATGCCCGCTCATTACCATTATCGTCGTCCCTCTGACGTCGCTAACATTCGAAAGAGCGATACTGCCTTAGACATGTGGAATTGCCGTCATTCGTTCTCAGCCACCAGCAGTGACGATCACTCCCCAGCACGAGTTTGTACTTCTCTTGGTACTAGTGAGACTGGTGGGATGATTTACCGTAACATTCGGCCCTTTAGGTAGACCCAGCCATAAATGAGCACTTGTTGATGTGAATGCTTAGTAGTAATAGGGTTTTTATTTGCTTGTATGTTGAACTTATTTCGCACTGTACATACCCAACTGTGATAATCGGAGTGGCTGTATGTGGGATTTGGTCCTTATATATAATTAATGTACAGCGTTATGGGATGCTATAATCGTGAATGAGGCGATATAAAATGAAAGTAGTATGATTAATATCAACCCCAGGGCTGTCTTGGTTTTATTGTGAATCCGAACTCTATTAAAGAGGGGCATATCGAGCCGTTGCAGGAGTTGAGATGGAGAGCAGCAAAGGTGAACCCACGGCATCGGAAACAAACCGGGCGGCAGGTGCGGCGTGCCGGCGCTGCTGCCGCCAGCTAACTCCCTTGCGGCGGCGGCGGCGCCGGCGGTGGTGGTGGCAGCGGTGGCAGCGCTCTGCAGAATGTCCTCGTTATTTCTTTCCCTTCTTAATCTTTGTTACATTTTTTTGGCCATTTCCACCCTTTGTGGATTTCTCACTCGTCAAGAGCGCTTCATTAGACGAGCGTAATGCAGAGCGCGCCGTCAAATTTGCGCTCGTTGCCTTAATTTGTTTGGCAGCAAAAATGAGTCGCATATTGCTAACAACCCAATTAAGCCACGAGTGATGTGGCTGCTTTGTAATTATATTTATTTGCAATCTGTGGAGTCCCGTCAGGGAGCTAATGTCACATCTGCTGCTGGATGCTCAAGTCATTTTTAAAATTGTCAGCGAAAACAATCATCTCAATGGGACGTTCGCTGTCATTCGAATATCGTTTAAAAAACACACAGGCACGCCACCCGCCCCGTCGCGTGAGCGCACGCTCCCACACTCTCACACGTGTGCTACATACCCAGCGACATGGGTTTAAATGCTGGCCCGCCCGGCGCGGCGTCCGATCATCGGCTATTGCATTCAACAATAGCCGTCGTGCTTTTGTTGGGTTGACAAGCGCCTCCACGAGCTTTTTTGTCGCAGACTAATCTTTGCGTCCGTTTCACCTCCTCGTGACACGGAGGCTGTCTGTGTGCATTCTGGTCCTGGCGTTTCGAACCGTATCGTCCGCTAAGGGATTCGTATAATGAGGACCAGTTTGAGGAAAGTCGACATTCATGCTCCCCATCATCGGAATGTGGAATTTATCCCTCTGCACATTCCGACTCCAGGAGAGCTTTGACTTGCAGTTTGACTCAGAGCGCCCGTCAAGGCCGACACGATACGTGGGCGGTGTGCCCGGGCCGCCAGCCTGGTCCTCCCCACAGCTGTTCGTGGCCCCCACAAAATTTGCAGCAGCCTCTAGACGTCCTTGTCGAATGGGAATCTGTGTGTGTTGGCCACCCGCCCTCCCTCATGTACCTTCGTAGGTCTTCGACAACAGCACTTGCCCCAAAAGTCCGTTCGAGGCTTTACAGGGCATATTTGTATATTTATTGTTGTGTATGTGTGTGCGTGTGTGTTTACGCTTGTGGAGAGTTTAGCGGTTAGCGCGCTGTGCTACGAACCTGGCAACCAGTATTCGATTCCCGCTCATGGCCTACACCAGTGACGATGATCTGAACCAGTCGTGGGCATCCCCTAGGTAGACAGTCTCAAATGAGTACCTGGTGCGGTGTGTAAACATCGCCACTGGGGAGACAAAGGCGGTCGGGCGTGGTGCTGGCCACCCACCCCGTCGTGTACCGTTCTAGCCGTCATAGGTGCTCGCTAACAGCACTTACCCCAACAGTCTGTTAAGACTATACGGGGGATTGAATCGTCTGTTGTGTTTGTGTGCATATATGTGTGTGCGTACGGGTGTGTGTGTGATTGTCTTTGTTTCTGTGCATGTGTGGGCAGGCTGCAGTGTCACAACAAGTGCATGAAAAATGCTCCCTCGTGCCAGATCCTCATTTTCCCACGTGAGAGTCACACACGCACACTCACGCATGCACACACATGCGCACATTAACATACACACATTCACGCATGCACGCCCACACTCACGCATGCACGTGTGTGTGTGTGTGGTGATTTGTCTTTGTGTGTGTGCAGCGAACACGCTGGCGTACGAACACAACTCGCTGCCGGCGCGGATCAAGGCGTCCGGCAACGGCGTGGACCCCGGCGGCGGGGAGACCCCCCCACCGTCGGGGACCGGCCTCTCGGGCACGCGCACCATCAACTTCCCCTCGCGAGTCAAGGTGTGCGCCGCACCACCACCGCCTCCAGGCTGCGCCGTGCTGCCCTGCGTGGGCTCCCGGGTGGCGGTGGCGTGGCGGTAGCGCTCGTGACTCATGGCGAGGATGCCCGAGTTCGATTCCTGACTAGGCCTCCCATTTTCTTGGTTCTTTCGGTAAAGTCACGTAGAATGGAAATAATAAAATAATAAAAATAAAACATAATAAAATTCTTCTCACGACGTTTCGGCCACAACGCAAGCAGCCGTCCTCAGGTGAAAATCAGGTCTGTCGGGGAGACAGCGCCTGAATGAAACAGCACCATGCTTGGAGAGTATATTTAAGCTGGGTTGGAAGGGGGGGAAGGGCGCCTTGACAAAATAATTTGCATATCAACAGGAATTTAGCATATTTATGGGAAATGCAGGTATGTGATTAGTACTCCTTATGCCCGTGCATTATGCAGGATCACATACCTACATTTCCCATATCCCCTCCCTTTGATGCTGCTAATCCTGCATAATGCACGGGCATAAGTAGTACTAATCACATACCTGCATTTCCCATAAATATGCTAAATTCATGTTGATATGCTAATTATTTTGTCAAGGCGCTCTTCCCCCCCTTCCAACCCAGCTTAAATATACGCTCCAAGCATGGTGCTGTTTCATTCAGACGCTGTCTCCCCGACAGACCTGGTCTTCACCTGAGGACGGCTGCTTGCGTTGTGGCCGAAACGTCGTGAGAATTATTTTATTATGTTTTATTTTTATTATTTTATTATTTCCATTCTACGTGACTTTACCGAAAGAACCAAGAAGATGAATCCCTGCAGTCACGAAAGCTTTAAAGCAAAATTTAGGCCTCCCATTGTTGGGCAGAGGGAGAGCGAGCGATAGTGTAGCGATTAGCGCGCTGTCACCCGAGTTCGATTCCTGCTCATGGCCAACACGTGTGACGATTATCTGAACCGGTCCTGGGCCTCCCTTAGGTCGACTCAGCCTCAAATGCATACCTGGTGCAGTGTGTAAGCATCGCTACTCGGGGATAAAGGCGGCCAGGCGTGGTGCTGAACGCCCAACCCCTCATGTGCCGTGCGGGCCTTCATAGATGCGCGTTAACAGCACTTGCCCCAACAATCTGCTTAGGCCTATACGGTGGGTCTTTGTCTTTGCGTATGTGTGTGCGAGTCTAGGTGAATGAGAGTGTGTGGAGTTTGTATGTTCTCTCCCTGTTTTACATGGGTTTTATCTGGGTTTTCCGATTTCCTGCCATAGCCAAAACCCACACAACATAACTGGTCTTGGCCAAACATCCAAATGCTGAAAACCACGAATTGTTCAATTGGATTCACAGCACAGCAACATCGCCCTGTACTGCGAAATCCTGCGAAGACCCTCTCAATGAGTCTTGAAACTTATCCAGACTTTCATGGGCAAACGAGCGTGGCAATATTAACGATAGATACTCGCCAACAGCACTCACCCCCGACAGTCTGTCAAATTCTACACGGGGGACCTTTTGCCTGTGCAGGAGCGGGCGCCCATCCCCTACCAGCAGCCGGTGGCGGGCGGCAGCGCCGCGTCGTCATGCGCCTCATCACCCCCGTCGTCCGCCGGCTCCTGTACCCCCAGCTCCACGCCATGCAACTCCCCGCGCACGGGTCCCGCCAGTGGCTCCTTCAGCTTCCCCGGTAGGCGCCCTGCTCCCACCGCGTCCACTCTACCTCTCGCTACGCCCGTGGCTGCCATGGCCCCACATGTCGCTCGCTCCGGCGAGCTGGAAAACGCTCGGCGAGAAATTAATCCCCCGCTCATACCACGTCCAGTGTACCTCCGGAGGACCCGACTATATTTATATATTTATCTACACACAATGCTACGCCAGCAACAATGTACACCATTGTGCACGGTTTAATCGCGTGGTTAAACCATCCTCGGTTGTGACCTGGATTCAGATCCCATTGTTACCGGATTGCTTTGCTCTCTTGCGTTCGTCACTGAGCCGCGCTTGATTTTTCGCGGAGAGGCGGTCGGCAACATCGCTCCATCGCTTCTCATCGTTGGTCCGGTTCGATGCCGGGACCGCCTTCAACACCTGCCTGAGGCACTCGCAGTCCCGTATGTCTGCAGTTGTTGAGCGAGTGTATTGCGCGCGACCTCTGTGTTGTCAGCGAGCCCTGAGGAAGAAAGTAATTTAACCATCGCGCAAAACCTGCCGCGACGTACCAATCAGAAGCACGGACACTGGCAGAGGAAACGCAGAAGCAGCTGCAAAGGGCGCAAAGTAGCGTGCAGAGACGCAGCATTAGGATTGCATTGCGAGACAGATGGACAACTTGGGATCTGAGGACGCGTGTACGTTAGAGACATCACGCTGACTGCTGGGAAAAGTAAGTGGGCTTTGACGAGATGTGGCTGGCGATCGGCGCTCTAGACTGAACGTCAGCGCGGCAGCCAAATAAGGGCACGTCCAGCGTGGAGATGGAGCAATTACATCAACTTGTGTGCAGGCGCTAGGTGGATTGTTGCATTGTAGAACCGCGAGAGATGGCGGTGGCTTGGGGAGGCTTTCATTCAACAGTGGATAGGTCATGAATGATGGTGATATGATTACTTGGCTACTGCTTTGGTGGGGAAATGAAGGTTCTGATGGTGCTGCTGCTGCTACTACTACTGCTGCTGTTACTACTACTGCTGCTGCTCCTGCTACTACTACTGCTGTTACTACGGCTGCTGCTCCTGCTACTACTGCTGCTGTTTCTACTACTGCTGCTCCTGCTACTACTACTGCTGTTATTACTACTGCTGCTCCTGCTACTACTACTGCTGTTACTACTACTGCTGTTACTACTACTGCTTGCTACTACTGCCGCTACTGCTGTTACAACTACTACTGCTGCTCCTGCTACTACTACTGCTGCTCATACTGCTGCTATTACTACTGCTTCTGCTGCTGTTCCTACTGCTGCTACTACTGCCGCTACTACTGCTGCTGCTACAACTGCTCATACTGCTGCTGCTATTACTACTGCTGCTACTACTACTGCTGCTACTGCTGCTGCTACTGTTGCTACTCCTGCTGTTACTGCTGCTACTGTTGCTGCTCGTAGCCGGGTTAACCACAGCGGGCGTCCGCGATGTCGTGATTTATATTTGAGTGGCCACTAGAAGGAGCGAAGGCTGGGCCTCGTGAAAACAGGAGATTGTGACAAACAACATCAAGAATAAGAAGATCATCATCATCATCATCAAAAATGCGGACGTGCAATACCGCGTTCGTTTTTAAACAGTGTTTGCTTTGCCGCGCCGTATGGTGCTCATGCATACTCGGGATGTCACCGTGTCGGCTGCTTATGACCAAAAAGTTCGCCACCCCTCCTTCACTGCCCGCCATTACCCCTCACCCCCCTCACCCCTCGCCTTCACTGCCCACCCGCACCTCCCTCACCGTGTGCTGGTTCAAAGCCGGACTGCACGCAAATTGGCCGCAGTGGGAGTTGTGCCCAAACGCAGACTGAAGGAGATAAGTCTGTGGTCACGGTCGGGGCCCTCAACTCCAACGCCTCACCGAGCCCCAAGGGTTCTGCATGAAAGAGGCCCTGCCTTGGGATCTTTGTCCAATTCTTGCTTAGTGAGGGATTTTTAATTCTGCTCCCAGAGGCATCGGGCTGCAGCGAACATTGATGACTGTACAGCCTGTTCTACTTTAACGTGTGGTGTTTTCATAACGCGAATTGAATACAACGTGATGAATGTATTAGGGAACGCATTTTTTATAACGCGGATGCGAATTGGATATAACGTGACCGAGTGAACAGAATAACGTCGCGCGAGTGAGAATAAGCGGTGATACGGGCTGCCTCGGCGTAGCATTATCACACAAGGCGGGATACTGCTGGATGCTTCTCGATGCTACCCACGCGCCTCAGTCTTTGTTCAGCCTGCGTACGCATCTCACGTGTTATCGTAGACTGTGCTTTAGCCTACATTATACATTATTTCTATAACGCGATTTTTCCATTACGCTGCGTTCTTCAGGAACGCAACTACCGCCATGTTATAGGAGAACAGACTCTACTGTATTGAGGAGTCCTAATATGAGAATGGTATCCAGTCCACAGTTGACTTTGTCTAACTGCCGCCTGTTGTTGTTGGGACGGCCATGTGTTTCTTACACTCTCAGGGTCGGTGGCTGTAAACGACAACATGGCCACACACGTTCAGTTTTTTGTAACTGGTGTTCTGGAAAAGGTCAGGAGCTTACGTGCAACGTTGCACACCTGCGTGTTATTAAATGCAAACTGGAATTTAAAAAAATCCACGCATCCATGCAGATAACACTCGAGCCCATGTAGATGGCTCAGGAAGCTACTTTCTGTACTACCTCTACTACTCCTCGTCAACTCGTAGCTGTATGAGTCAGAACTCTCACGGCAAGGGAGTCTACACAGGAGGTGAACGCTTCAGAGGGTGCCCTTCTCTAGAATGGAGGGATCACTGCCAAGTGGAGGTTCGGAACGGCGGTGTCGGCAGGCCTGGTGGATAGTCAGGGTGGTCACAGCGCAAGGGCTCTGCGTGGCCACCCACTGACCAGTATCGTCCATTCAGAATCAGAATCTTTATTCATCCTGGAGGAATCCGATGGGCTATGGAGCTTTTTTTCACAGATGTCCAGTCGGGGCAGGTCAGAAAGTTACAACAACAAACAATGCAAAAACACGGTAGGAGTGTAAAGAATAGGAAAGGTAAACGAATCACTATCCATAAATAACGTTTTTACATTCAAATTGCATAAGTACATCAATGCCGAAGCTTGGGCAAGAGAGGTAAACAACAGCAAACACAATCCCCAAAACAGTTCATTATGGACAAACAACCCACACAACAGACATGGTGTCCACGATGTCGTTACATCGCACGCCGTGCCTCTCGGGCCGGCACCACACAGTGATATCCCGCGATGTCACTATACATACACATGCGTTATGCGGTTCCTGATGAGCGAGATGAGGCCATCAGCTTGCTGCGCCTGGGAATACAGTTTCATTGGAGGCGGCCAGCACGTGGAGATTAACCAGAGCGGTTAAAATAGTCTTTGGTTTGCGTTACCGGTGCCGCGCACGGTGAAACGTCTCCTGACAGTCGTAGCTTGTTCACTGAGTCACGGAGGGAGCTGCCGCAACAGCGTCGCGGCAACAACGCTGAACTTGTCGGTCGGCAGGTCACGTGTGGTGGGGTGAAGTGTGGGTACGCCCACCTCTTCCAATACGTCTGGAATAGTCAGGCCAAATACCCTCTCGCGCCCCCCTCCAATGCAGGCCCTTCCGTCAGCGGTGGTGGAGCGAGCATGGCAAGCAATCGCGTGTGGTGGGGTCAAGTCTGGGTCGTTAAAACCCGACACAACCAACGAGTAAGGGTTGTCATCTAAACAGAACGTGCCCATTCGTCACTAGTACAGGACACCGGTGTGTTGGAGAGCTAAGCCACAACATTTACAATCAGAGTACGACGTTTCACCAGTAATTACAACTAGCCTCATCAGGTGACAGCCATATTTGTGGAGAAGTCCACCTGTTTCGTTCCTTATATAGAGGCGTAGATGTGGTGACCACGCTTCTGAGCTCCTTGGGCAAAGTGGGGGGGGGGGGGGGGGATTAATAAGTCAACGTACATTATGCATGAGCATTATGCGAGCCCTTTGATCTTGTCATTCCTGTCCGTTGTGTGTATTAAAATAACCGTATCAAAGGTAATCCCTATTGAAGTATGGTGGCCTGTATAGGCATGCATTTAAACAATGCATTATTTGATGATATTTACGCGATCTAACCCCAAAAAACCTCTTATGGATGAAATTGGTCGCGAAAGCCGACGTGTTAAACAGAACAATACCTCTGGGCGGGGGCGGGCTGTCTTGTAGAGATCCTTTCTTCCAGCAGTGGCTCAACCAAGCAATTGCAGGGCTGCACCTTTAACTTTTAACTGGGAAATTTTGGCAAATGTACCATGGCACAGGCCATTCGTTGGCTCACGCGTGCCACTCGGCGCCATTCATTGCTCACATTTCACTGGAAACGGTTACTGAGTTCCTGAACTTTGCAACCTGTAACCGATTCTTCCCGTGGTTACTCTTTAACAAGCCTGAGCCCTAAGCCAGCATCGCCGCAGTGCCGGCCAGGCTCAGTGCACCGACACAGCCAGGATGAATTCCCCCCGGGCCACCCGGCCACCCCTGGCACCTGTGCCGAGAGCTGCCGAGTGGCCTGTATATGCCCATTTCTATTTATCTCTAGATTTGAAGCTTTCATGACTGCAAGGATTCATACTCTTAGGTTCTTTTGGTAAAGTCACGTAGGTAAAATAATAATAAAGTAAAATAAAAATAAATGAAAATAACTAAATTAAATCACGACGTTTCGGAAGCAACACAAGCCTCCGTCATCAGGTGTAACTGCTCCAGTAAAATTACTGTAGCGTGTGAAGAAAGCTATTCAAGACACGTGTTTTTTTATAGGGTGCTGGGCAGGGAGGAGCCAATGAGTCGCGGGGGGGGGGGGGGGGGAGATAACCATCTCGGTGCTTGTACACTGCAAGTACGGTGCTTGTACACTGCAAGTACGGTGCTTGTACACTGCAAGTACGGTGCTTGTACACTGCATGTATCTCTCAAAGTGCATCTCTCAAAGTAATTTTCCTGCCGTTTTTTTTCACGCGCTTATCGTCGGTAATTTTTTTCCGTCGGGGTACTTTACATTTGCACATAAATGAAATGTTTGCGAATTTCCGAAGGCAAGCCGGCTGTGTGGTGCACGTCTGCGGGTGGGTGAGTGGGGGGGGGGGTGCATGGAGGGAGGTAACGATAACAAATGGGAGTCAAAGTTGATTGGTGCTCAGATGAACGTGGGGTGCCGCGTTTGTCTCTATTAGCAGCCCCAGGACGCTGCCGCAGCGGTGTGGCGGTGAGCGCACACTGGAGTCGTGGTCCAGAGGCCACCGCTTCTATTCTACCTCCCGGTGTGGCAGTTCAAACAATGGGGGCAAGTTTCTTAAGGGGCGCCACGGTGGCGAGATGTGAACTACCTTGCCCGGTATACAGGAGGTCGTGGGTTCGATCCCGATCCCGACCCTGACGATACCTGTATATTTGGAGGATTCGTGTTCTCTCTTCCCATGGTCGTGTGGATATTTCTCCAGGTCCTCTGGTTTTTCCCTCCACATTTATAATTAACGTGCATTTAGAGTATTTGGCTGCTAGACATTTACACATGGTAAGCCACTTCATTGAGCTCTCATTTGTGGCCAGGTCGCTTCTCAAAAAGAGCTACATAGCTCAGTTGGCCTTACTTGGTCAAATAAAAATTGTTTATAGTAGTTTATAGTTTTAAATCGGCCCCCATCCCTGCCGCCTCTGTCCACCGAGCAGGATAAATGGGTTCAACCACAGTTGGGGTAAAGTGTGGGTACTCCCAGCTCTTGCAAGAGCTAGTGGTGGGAATTAACAGTGTGCTGTCTCCACATAGAACGGTACCGGTGCTGCGCTGCGCCGGTGTTGAGTTCTAAGAGAGAAGTTCAGCAGAATTTGACAACAGAGAGACAACACTTTTGGCCGAGATGTTAGCGATCTATACTCAGAGACAACGATCCTCCACATAGCCTTTACCAAACGAATGGGGCAAATACTGTTAGCGAGTACCTAATTATACTGGCACCGTACCCGAGTGGCTGGTGTGGCCAGAACCCCAGCCGGCTACTTATCTCTCCCCGGTGCTGACCTCTTCATACATCACTTGCCAATGATGTTAGTCATGGTCAGATATCAAACTCAGGTGACCACATTCATGGGAGAGTGAGGGAACCACTGCGCCACCACTCCCCATACATGCACAAAACAACAAAGGCAAGATCCCCCATATAGCCTCAACACTTTTGGGGTAAGTGCTGTTAGCAAGCAGACATAACGAACACACCCACATAAGTACAGCTAGTCACAACGATGCACATACATAATCACACACTGACGTCAATACACGTTAACACGTCTACACACAAGTCATCATGCACATATGTGGACACATTCCTACACACGTAAACACACAAGGCTGAGTCGAATCGAACTCGAGTGTCCCGGGTTCGCAGCGCCGCATGGCGTTAACTGCAGCCCCACCGTTCCCAGTAATACACGCGCACGCTCGTGGAGGACACGCGATTTTACGGAAGTCCTTGAGTGATGATTGAGGTTATCGCGCCTGTTTAGCGAGCAGACTGATCGCGGCCTCAGATACGTCCGGCTCATGTTTGCTTTTCCAAATTGAAAAGACTGACTCCCCTCTCTAAATGGTTGCCCACCTGCGCGTGTTGCGGGCGGGGTCACGGTTGCCGTCCCTGTTGTCTGGCCTGAGCCATACTCGGGATGATGGGACGATGATGCGACGCCTTTAAGCAGGGATGGAGGAGGGGAGAAGATAGCCTACGTGTTAAACTGAAGATAGCTCCGTTCAAATGCATTTAAAGAACAGATGCAAATGAGAGGACTCGGATTGAAGTGGTTGTTAAGCACAAACTGGAACACGTGCCACCACCTCCCATGAATGCAGTTAAGCAATCTCGGGTTTGTGCATTTTGTTTTTAATGCTACTTCTATCATCAGCCATGATCTGTCTGCTGCTGGATGAACGCCTCCCCAGTCCAACAATCTGACGAGCTCCCGCTGCACGCAAGCCGATTTGATCGTTCCTCCTCCGCTGTGGACATCCTCTCTGGCGCATTTTCTTCCTTTGACTACCGCTCCACCCGGCCAATGTTCCCTTCTGGCAGTGATGAGTGCCTGGCCAAGTCACCCCCGACGCTCCAAAGCGGCGGATTGTGAGAAGCGTTCCCGTTACCGGTGACGAGACGCGTTTGCGAACGCGGTGATTCGTCGTCTGCTGTGGTGTTCCACGGCGCCATCGTATCAGCGATGCGGCGGTTCGTGATCGATCTTCGGTTGTCATCCATCACCGGAAATCCAGCGCGTGGCGCGGATTCTCACTCGGGCCGACTCTTAAATAAAGAATAGACATCGTCGCTCGGCTCCGGCTCGGCTCCGATTCGGCTCTGGCTCAAGTCGGCCATGGCTCAAAACCAACTTTAGCTGGATCCCACCTGCCGTGCTCAGGACTTACCTGAGTAGAGCCTGAGCCGAGCCACGGTTGAGCTGCTCGTGTGGTCTGTGCAAGCCACTGAGTGGCTCGAGCCTGAGCCAAGCATGTTAGAGAGTGAGCCGCGACTCGTAAATCCGGCCACAAAAAAACATTGACCTGATTTACGGATTGTGGGTGCCGAGTGTTGCGCGGCTCTCCCGCGTGTTTGGGAGTTGTAGCCCGCCTTGTGGGCCCACGATGTCTGAAGTTTCGCTCCACGTGCTGAAAGCTTGTTCAGGAGCGAAATGTCACTCCTCGCACTGGGCGGCGCCCCGCAGGTCTTCACAGCAGCAGCACGGCTGCTGCTGTGAAGACCTGTGCGGTGAATATTGCATATTTATACTGTTCTATTCTCCGATGTTCTTAATGTTTGTGTTGTCTTGCTTTGTTGTTTTTGATGATGAAGTAAATAAAATGTTCAAGCGAGACCGCTGGAATGTTTGCGTGCGCTCTCGGGGGCCATGTGTATGCTTCGTATGTGTTAACTAACAGCACTTGTCCCATCAGCCGGTGAGGTCTAAAGGGTTGATACATTTTTTTGCGTATCTATGTGTTTGCTGCCGTGGTATAATGGTTAGCGCACTGGACCTGCAATCCAAATATCGCTTATTTGATCTCCTGGTGTGGCAGCTGAAACAATGGGACCAGTTTCTTACATTCCCTCCCACCCCCCACCCCGTTCGTCCACTCAACAGTAGAAATGGGTTCACCAGAGTCGACGGGCAGGTGGGGTAAAGTGTGGTTACACAGACCTCTTCCAAGACGTCTGGCATAGTGTGGAAGAGTAGGCCAAATACCCTCTAGAGGGGCTCTCAAGGGCTTCCTCATGTAGGAGGCTTTTCTGCTAACGTTGGCATCAGCAGGCAATTGCAGGGCTGTGCCGTTACCTTTTACATGATTCTAGCATGCTCACCAGTGCGTGTATGTGCGCTTGTGTGCGTACCTCTGTGTGTCCATCTGCACCACACAGACATCCCCTCGGGAGCGGACAACACGACATCCTCGGATTTCTCCGTGGCTCTCTTCCCCAACCCGCGGACGTACGTCATGGTGACTCTACGAGCCAGTTTGGGTAGCAGGGTGGCGGCGCAGTGGTGACACTCACGCCTGACAGCAAGAAGCGACTGGGTTCGATTCTCAGTTTTGGCGCCTGTGTTCTGCTCCACATGGGCTTCTTCCAGGTCCTCCGGTTTTCTCCCGTAGCTAAACACACACACAGTGGAACTGGTATTGCCCAATCATCCCAATGGTGATATATTATCAGCAAATTACTCAATTGGGACGATGCATTGCAAACCTCTTATGCAAAACTGGGTAAGACCCTCCCAATAGAGTGTAAAACATTGAATAAACAGCCTTTTGTCAATGTGTTATGGGTTCGATTGAGGTGCACACTCGACTTGGAGGCAACATGATTTATTAACACATAACACCAACTAACACTCGGGCAACACGACACAGCGTGGCCCCGGGCAGGTGACGGCTGCCTGGTCACGAATGACGATCGGAGACTTGATGACTTCTCATGGCGTCTTCATCCCGGAGTAGAACAGCCCAGCTCCCCGTTCACACCCCGCTTATAACCGCTCCGGCGTGGCCGGCTCCACCCCAGGCCACGCCCCCCTTCTCGATCCTTCGGGAAGGTCCGGGCCCCCAACCACGTGACCCCCAATCTTCCCCCTTATCCGGTCACATGTCCTGTTGGGTTCACGTGGAGTGCCACGGCCTGACACGACCCCCGTGACACCCGCCTACAGCCCCCATACCGAGCCAACACAGTAATGACCTCATATATCCCTACGCTCGTATAGTCCCGACATAGTAGTGCAAATGCAATTCTGTAAGGAGGTCTCCTTCAAATGCCGTGTCGGTCATGGGGTTGTTTGACCATACTTCACCACACTGGTAAGTGGGGGTTGATGAAAGTGGGAGCACAGATGTAGAGTCCTGTGCCCCAATGGATTGTGCTGCACTGCTGTCCGCTACTGACCGCGCAGCCTCAATTGCAGATACAACTTGAAAATGTGAACCGCCATGACCTACGCCACGTTGCACACTGCTGCGCCGTCTCGTGCCGGGTTGTTTAATGTGTCACTCGCTCTCATTCGTTCAGCGGCGATGGCAGCGGCGGTAGCGGTGGTGACGGTGTCTCTCCACGCACGCCAACCGCTGATGAAGGCAACTCATCAGAGAAACCGCACGGTGGGCTGTCAGCGAGCGAGGTAAGTGGTGGCCACCACCCGCGATGCATGCTGGGACATCAGTGTCCATGTGTGGAGGGTGGCGGCTCTAGCAAGGTCTAGGTTAAGGCGTATGGAGTGATTTAGGATTTTTAGGATTCACTTACAACACTCGGTGGTCAAATATCCGAGGTGATATATTTTCATTCTCTAGGGTTCCATGGAAGCTTCCATCTTGGTCTCAGAGTTAAACATCCAACATTGTTAGGGTTCAGTTAAAACACCAATTGCTACGAGGTTGCCGCCTCGTAGCAATTATTGGGACGGTGAAGCGGCCCAGCAGGAGCGCGTTCGCCACTTGTGGCAGAGGTTCACGGTTTGAATCTGACTGGCTGCCCTGGTTATTACTATGTATTGGCCAGAAAATAGCCGAAGTGAACGTTAACATACCCGTGACGTCATTCGCAATCGTTAAGCCATTGTGTGCCGGCGTCATGGTCCAAATGTATAAAATTCTACAAAATGACATCACAACATTTCTCAGTTGGGATTACACACTGCATGCCCGTGTTTGTGACGCACAGCAGCGCCTTTCTTTGGGATAGCCTTGGGCTATAGGAACCGCGCGAATATCACTCGTACGAGGTGATAGTTACTGTTATAACAATCATCTCGTCTTTACACCAGTGATGGGTGTCATGGTGGCGAGATGTTGACTACTTAACCGGTGTACAGGAGGTCGTGGGTTCGATCTCGACCCTGACAATGCCTATATATTTGGAGGCTGCATGTTCTCCCCGTGGTCGCGTGGACTTTTCTTCGGGTCCTACGGTTTTTAGCTCCACATTTAAAAACATGCCTTTAGAGTATTTGGCTGTTATACATTTACACATGGTAAGCCACTTTGTTGAGCCATCATTTGTGGCCAGGTTGATTCTAAAAAAGAGCTATATAGCTCAGTGGGCCTTACCTGGTAAAATAAAAAATTGTTTAGTCGTTATTAGTTAGTGTGTTGAACCGTGGTTATCATTGTTGTTGTGCCTCGCCTGGCAGGGCGTGGAGGAGAAGCAGCCGGTGGTGGAGGTGGCGACGTCGCCAAAGCCAGGGGACATACCGGACTCCGCCGAGAGCTCCGAGACGGTGGGGGAGCTGAACTACGCGGCGCGAGGGGGACGCACGCAAACCAGCATCCTGCTCAAGGTGCGTGCATGCACGCGCGCGTGTGCCTGAGTGTATGGGGAGCGTTGGTCCGTTGATTAGCGTGCTGCGCTACGAACCTGGCGACCAGAGTTTGATTCCCACTCATGGTCAACAACAGTGATGATTCAATTATCCGAACCAGTCCTGGGCCTCTCCTAGGTTGACTCAGTCTCAAATGAGTTCCTAGTGCGTTTGTAAACTTTGCCACTGGGGAGACAAAAGTGGTCAGATGTGGTGCTGGCCACCCACCCCCTGGTGTTCCATGCCAGCATTAATTGGTGCTCGTGAACATTCCCTGCAGCTCAGCTGGACACTGCGATCTCCCTGAGCACTTTTTCACTCTTCAAAATGAACCGGTGATGACGTCCCTAGGGCATCCACTTCAAATCATTGCGCCATACTACACGCGGTACACCCCAAGCATAATATTGAAAGCCTACACCGTAGTGATGTTATAGTCACTAACTAGGCTTGTTCAACGATAACCGCTAAACCGGTCAATGTTTTCAGAATCAGGTACCGGTTGCTGACTTGCAGAACCGGTAAATGATTTCAGTGGAATTCTAGTGATGAACTCACAGACTGAACCCCATTGTTCTTAACTGCCGTGCCGAGAGATGGAATCGAATCCGCGACCTCTGGATTGCAAGACCAGTGAGCTGCTGTTACATCACCAATGTGGCAGCTTCCTTAGTCTCTCAGTTAAGAAGTTGAACGTGTTGTGTTTATTGCTGTAAACATTTCTATATTTGCCACACACCGGTAACAGTTTTTTATACTTTTTTCCACGCGGTTACAGCTCATGCAAACACACGATTTTAACAACCTCCCCCCCGTGGGCCCCCGTGGCATCGAGCAGGAGTGGAACATCCCGTTCGAACGTGTGGAGCTGGGGGAGCTCATTGGGCGCGGGCGGTTTGGGGCGGTCCACCGCGGCCGCTGGTACGGGGAGGTGGCGGTGCGCCTGGTCACGGTGGAGGGCCATGAGCAGCAGCGGCTGCGCCTCTTCAAGCAGGAGGTGCTCACCTACCGGCAGACGCGGCACGAGAACGTCGTGCTGTTCATGGGCGCCTGCATGAACCCGCCGCACCTGGCCATCGTGACCAGGTGACGCCGCGCCCCCCCCCCCCCCCCGTCCCGTCGGGGCCGCGATGCCAACCACCCGTAGACCCAGTGCTAGTGACGCTGCCCGCGGTAGATTTACTTAAAATTAATTGTGCTCATTTTCACAGGAAAGCCTCACCGAGTCTCGGGTTTTTGCAGGACGGGGGCAATGTTGCCGTGTTCAGTAGCAGTTGAGCCATTTGCAGGAGAAGGATATTTGGCCAATACTGGTTATGTTGTATGTGCATGTGTTTAGCTTGACTGACTTCCTGTCACCAAGCACAGCGATCATGCCGTGACTAGTTTCATGTCACCTAGGTTATGTGCCTAGGATGCTGGTAGATTGACAATCGTCACCCCTTCTTGCACAATCCCTGTTGGTGGGCCAGTAAATAATCATCATAACGATGATAATCCACGGTTTTTTGTCAATCCACCGCTGTCCCCCCCCCGCCCCCCACCACACCCTGCAGCTTCTGCAAAGGCCGGACGTTGTACGCGGTCGTGCGGGATCCAAAAGTTCCGCTCGACATCAACAAGACGAACCAGATCGCTCGCGAGATCCTCAAGGTGCCAACCTACACCGCCGCTCGCCATTAACGGGACGCGCGGGGTCTTTGGATTGTTTGGCTGCTGCTATCAATTTCCACACGATAAGCCACTTCGTTGAGCTATCATTTATTTTAGCCAGGTCGCTTCTTAAAAAGAGCTACATAGCTCAGTGGGCTTGACCTGGTAAATAAAATAGAATTTGTTAACAAGAAAAGTTAGTCATCGTGTTGTTTCATAGAGTAACAGTTCGCAGCACGTTTGACTGGCAATCCAGAGAACCCTGGTTCGATTCCATCTCCCGGCCCGGCCATTGAACCAATGAGTAAAACTTATTAAATTCCACCCTCCCCCCCCAACGCCTCTGCTCACTCAGCAGTACAGTCGATCGGCAGCTCGCGTGTGGTGGGGTAAAGTGTGGGAACTCCCACAAGAGTCGACCAAATACCCCCTAGGGGGGCTCTCGTGGAAAGATCCTTCTGCCAGCAGTGGCTTATGTACGTATTGTATGTTGAACTTCTTTCACACCATACGTAGCCAACCGTGCTCATCGGATTAACCAAACAATAGCAGGGCTGCACCTTTATCTTTTCTATGTATTCTATCTATTTTAATTTCACCAGGTAAAGCTCATTGAGCTCTGTAGCTCTTTTTCAGAAACGACCTGGGGACAAATGATAGCTCAACGAAGTGGCTTATCACGTGGAAATTTATAGCAGCCAAATACAATGCACGTTTTTAAATGTGGAGGAAAAAACCAGAGGACCTGGAGAAAAATCCAGACGACCAGGGGGATAGCATACAAACTCCAAACATACAACAGGCGTCAGGTTCGGGATCGAACTCACGACCTCCTGTATACCGGGCGATGTAGTTAACATCTCGCCACCGTGGGAAATGAGGGCAACTGGGAAAAGAGGGCAAATGTATCATGCCATGGCACAAGCCGCTGTGCCACTTGTTGGCTTATGCGTGCCATTTGGTCTTATTAATTGTTCGCATTTCACAGGAGGAGGTTACCGGGTTCCTGAACTTTGGAATCGGTAACCAATTCTCAAAATGGTAAAAAAACATCCATGAATGAAGAGGTTTCACTTTTACTGTATTTACATTTGGCTATGTTTGATTGCGCAGCAGGAATAGTTGATAGTTTAGATGTCACTTAAAATATGAATTGTTTGTATATTTCCAAGGCAAAATTGAAAATATACAAATAATGATAAACGATGTTGAGACTGAGAAAATCAGAGGATAAATGGAGCAGTCTGAATCTAAGCTGTGAAATCGATACATTAAACTGAAAATAAAGAACATTAAAGAGCACAATGAAAATAATGCAATGAGAAATGTCAAGTTGAAAATGAAATTCAAAATAGAGGAAATAAATTCAACCCAAAGGGAGGAACCCATTTCCCCAGCACAGAAACGGCACAGCGACATCCATGGAGTTACATAGAGATCAATAGAGTTACATAGAGATCCAGAGTTACATTTAGAGCCACAGAGATACATAGAGTTTCTTAGAGTTGCAGAGATCCATAGTCACTTCGGGACTCATGGACTCAGACTTTATTATTTCAGCTGCTAAGGCCCCGTATAGTCAAGCAGCTCTGTTGCCACAATGACCACGGCCCCAAGACCGTGTGGCAGTGGCTGCGGTTACCGGACATCATCGCAGGGTGGAGGAAATCTGCAACCAACCAGAGCAGCAGCAACAACAACAGCAGATTATTTACACGAAACCCACTGCCTGCACTGCTCACTACAGATAATGCTTACACACATTAATGAACAATAGTGTAAAAAATTCGTATCACAGACGTTTGCATAAACAAACCGTGTGCACAGCCTCAGACGTAACGGAGCTGGGCTCCAGCGTTCAAAGCAAAAGTAGCGGTGGTGAGTCCTGCAGGCAGACGTTAACACACGCAGCTGGATAAGGCACATGTGGAATATTGAGGTTGGTCATGAGGACATCCACAATGTGGGTGCAGTGCCAGACGATGCCCTGGAAGCAGAGTTCTCAATCTAGCACGGTCACCAGGCAATCAGAGGTCCACCTACGGTTTCTTGGATTGTGTAATGGGTGAAGAGAGAACATCCGTTGAGATACTGACCTGATTTAGATGTAGTGCAGGTCTCTGCTCAACTTTGGCGAGGTGAGATAAGTTTAAAGCTTGAGAAAAAGCTCACAATGATGAGTTCCAAGGTGAATGTTAGAGCCGAATGATAAAGAGGATTTCGTTTATTGGAGAATGAAAGATAATCTGTAGGTTACATCGCAATAATCACACAGGTCAGCGTGGGTTGGTGAATGGGGGCCCAGGGTTCAGATATCACTCGCTCCTGAAATACACAGGCAACAAACAAGCAGGGAACTTCTATAGCGAATGGCGCATGCTTGTTTGTGCGTGTTTGTGCAAGCGTGTGCGTTTGTGTGGGGAGCGGTAGTGTAGCGGTTAGCGCGCTGCGCTATGAACCCAGTGACACGGGTTCGATTCCCGCTCAAGGCCAACACCACAGCGACGATTATCTGAACAGGTCCTGGGCCTCCCCTAGGTCGACTCAGCCTCAAATGAGTACCTGGTGCGGTGTGTAAACATCGCCACTGGGGAGACAAAGGCGGTCGGGCGTGTTGCTGGCCACTCACCCCCACGTGTGCCGTTCTGGCCTTCATAGGTGCTCGCTAACAGCACTTGCCCCTACAGTCTGTTAAGGCTATACGAGGGATCTTTGTCTTTGTTTGTGTGTGTGTGTGCGTGTTTGCGCATGTGTGTGTGTGCGTGTCTGTGGGCATGTGTATGCATGTATTTGTGGGTGCGTGTTTGTGCATGCGGGGGTGTGTGTGTTTACCCGTGCGCATTTGTACGTGTATGTCTGTGCGTGCGTGTTTGTGTGTTCCGTGTATGTGCGTGTTTATGCATGCGTGTGTGTGCGTGTATGTGCGTGCACATGCGTGCGTTCTCACAGGGTATGGGCTACCTCCACCACAAGGGCATCGTGCACAAGGATCTCAAGTCCAAGAACGTCTTCTATGACAATGGCAAGGTCATCATCACTGACTTTGGACTCTTCAGCATTTCTGGCGTCGTTCAAGATGGCAGGTGCGAGCATCGCACAAGGGCCAATGTGTGCCGAATTCATGCTTATATCCCGGGAGCCCTCGGACATCGATTTGGCGCAGTTTTTTTTTACTGGAATTTTTGCACAAACGAGCGTTATAATCGTGCTGTAAATGCGTGATCGTTGTTTTGTGATATCTATGAATTGGCGGTTACTGTTAACCCGAGCTGCCGAAGCGATCATTTCTCACCAATCATTGTTTTTCAAATGATCTTTGAATCATTGAACTCATTGTGCAGTACCATCAGCCGGGTGCATGGTGAGTAACGGTAATTATGTTACTCGGCGAAAATGCAGTTATCGTTCGAGATTAGTGGCTGTGTCTGTGCAGCACTGCGGTCAGAGTGCTTGACTCGTAATCAGACGGTTGTGAGTTCAAATCTTGGTTGGGGTTTCACTCAACCCATCATCCCTACCGGGTATTTAAAGCAAGTACAATTTTGTGCAGCGTGAACAGTGGCCATACATGAAATGTGGAGCTTTTCATCGCTGGCTTAGAGCTATCAAGTGAGATGAGCGGCAACCGCCAATATTCTTATGACAACGGAGACACCATGACTTTTTATTTTAGTTCCATCCATATGGCAGAGGTGACTCTTAGAAGTGACCCTGTGACATGCACTTCTGCGGGCCGTTCTCTGACACAAAGCCAGGCAGGTTCAGTATCTCGGGAAGCGATGCCGAGGGTGCACTAGAGGAAAATACAAAATATAAATGATGGCCAAACCACTTTCAGTGAAGCAAGATTTGTTCACTTCTTATCATTGACTTTGGGTCGTCCAAACCGCCTGTTTCCCCATAGCCGCAGTATTGATCCGGCACTGCCTCGAAATTCCCCCCCCGCCCCACCGTGATCCAGACACTGCGTTTCGCTTCTCACTGTCCTCCACTGACCCCCCACCCCCATCCGCCACCCCCTGCTCCGCCACCGCCGTGCCGCCGCCACGGCAATGATCCCGCCGCCCCGTTACGGTGGCTGCGAATCTATTTCACGCTCGGCGTCGTTGAAGTTACGGCGCGGCCATGTTACGACGTTACGGCCGTGTGCGGGGATCGCGGGGGTCGGGGGGGGCAGCGGGCGCAGGTCACCGCGTCACTCGAATCTAATTAACGGCATACATGGTGACGGCCCGCTACACGGCGGCGCACGGCCCTCCACTTGACGCCCGCCGCTCTCGTATTAAACCGCGTAACGGCCGCCACGTGCGCCAATGGTCGTGTGTGTAAAACTGTAAAGGCGCAGTGGCACAATTGATCGCTCACACCACTGCTGGCAGAAGGGTCGTCACGAGAAGAAGCTCAATAGGGCCTCTATGGGGGGGGGGGTTGTTATCTAAAGTTGCATCTTCACACTAACCAGAGAACACAACAGCGCTGCCTCCGTGTAGCCACGTGTACTGTAAGGTGCCTTGTCAATCCACTGCTGCATGAGGCTCTTCGCACATCGTCCACACGGGTCTTGGGGAGTTTTTGATTTGTTCCGCCACCGCGCATCTTTTGTCATGCCACGTTCATAATTTACACCGCTGCCAATATCTGCCGGGAGTCCCGTGATGAACGCCAAGGCAAGATTTAACGACACCGACAGCTCCATATATAAATTCCGGTGGCATGTCACCGAGGCCAGCGATTCGCGGAATTCATCCGACGTTAATGCTGGCCGGCCGGGCGTTGATCCAATACCGATGCTCGATACCAATATCGGGGACTGGCTTCACTGTGAGCGGTGGGCAGCAGAGGGCAATGTAGAATACATTGAACTGGACCCGAACTGTACTATTCTGGCATATCTATGCACCCTGTCTTCACCGACCCGCACTGACCAGCATGGTGAAGTATGACCCAAAAACCGCCACAGCCCGATGCGGTGTGGGGAGGCCCTCAACCTCTGTGTCGCGACTTCACTATTCTTCACCCCTTGTGTGGCCGTTCCGATCCGTGCCGCGTTGAGTTTCCCACGCAACGTGTTGATGAGCCGTCGCTTCTCGGCGCCGTGCCACCATCTTCTCGTGACCGCCCCTTCACCCTCCCGGGCAGGAGCCATCAGGAGCTGAAGCTGCCCCGGGGGTGGCTGTGTTACCTGGCGCCCGAGATCATTCGCCAGCTGGCGCCGGGCACCGACCAGGACCTCCTGCCGTTCTCCAACAACACCGACGTGTTTGCCTTCGGGTGAGTGGCGCCGTGTCCCTGCCTATGCCATCGCATCCACCACAACAATACCACCATCTCGATTTAAAGCTTTCGTGACTGCAGGGATTCATCTTTTTGGTTCTTTCGGTAAAGTCACGTAGAAGGGAAGTAATAAAATAATAAAAATAAAACATAATAAAATAATTCTCACGACGTTTCGGCCACAACGCAAGCAGCCGTCTCCACCTGAAGAGGCAGAGTCTGCCTTCTCGACAGACCTGTTCTCCACCTGAAGACGGCTGCTTGCGTTGTGGTCTGTCGAGAAGGCAGAGTCTGCCTTCTCGACAGACCTGGTTTTCACCTGAGGACGGCTGCTTGCGTTGTGGCCGAAACGTCGTGAGAATGATTTTATTATGTTTATTTTATTATTTTATTACTTCCCTTCTACGTGACTTTACCGAAAGAACCAAGAAGATGAATCCCTGCAGTCACGAAAGCTTTAAATCGAAATTTAACCACCTCTACGGGGAGGGATTTCACATAACTTTGAGATCCTTCAACAAGCTCCGTGATAAGAAGGCTCCAAGCACGTTTGCTGTTTCATTCAGACGCTGTCGCCTCGACAGACCTGGTTTTCACCTGAGGACGGCTGCTTGCGTTGTGGCCGAAACGTCGTGAGAATTATTTTATTATGTTTTATTTTTATTATTTTATTACTTCCCTTCTACGTGATTTTACCGAAAGAACCAAGAAGATGAATACCACCATCAACAAAACCCACAAACCAACAACAACACCATTAACAACACCCACAGCAACACCATCAACAACATCATGAACAACACCATCAATTACAACAACAAAACCATTAACAACACCCACAACAACACCATTAACAACAAAGACACAATCCCCCATATAGCCTAAATAGACTTTTGGGGCAAATGCTGTTAGCATGCACATATGAAGGCTGACACGGCACAGGAGGGGGTAGGTGGCTAGCACCATGCCAGGCCACCTTTGTCTCCCCAGTGGCCATGTTTATACATTGCACCAGTTACTCATTTGAAGCTGAGTCGACCTAGTGGAGGCCCAGGACCGGTTCAAATATTCGCCACTGTCATTGGTCGAATCCGGGTCACCGGGTTTGTTGCACAGTGCGCTAACCGCTGTGCCACTGCTCCCACAACAACACCCACAACACTCACAACAACACCCAAAACAAGAATATCGACATAGCCTGCAACAACAATAAAAACATTGACAACACCTACAACAATGATAACACCACCATCATTAACAATGTCTACAATGACTACAACAACAACAGCAATCCTACAACAATGTTAAATAGTACCAACCACATCATAGCAGTGGTGCCGTAGTAACAGCTTGTGCCTCACAACAAGCAGCACCTGCGTTTGATTCCTGACTCGGGCACCTTTCTGAGTGGAGTTTGTATGTTCTCCCCCTGTTCCTCAAGGGTTTTCTCCGGGTTGTCCCCTTTCCTCCCATAGCTAAAAAAAACCGTCATGCAATGTGGCCGGTATTGGCCACCTGCAAATTACTCAACAGGGATCTCGCAGCAGCAGCAAGATCACCCCCGACTGAAAACTTGGCGGGACCGTCCTGAAAAAAGAGTCTTGAGACTCAGTGAAGTTTTCCTGGGTAATGATGATGGTAGTAATAATAAAAAATAACATCTGTCGTGACAGATGCCTGTTAAAGCGATGCACGTTCATTGAAACGTTATTTAAAGTGATTGTTGTCTTCCTCAAGAGGCAGCTATTCAAATGGCAGACACTTAGCTAGAAATCAATTAAGGCCAATGCCATTTGCTCTCGTAGAGTTCTGTCAATTAACGCAATCCACTTTTAGTGATGATTATCAACAGCCACTGCAATTAACCATCCTAAAAATTGCTTAAGTAGAGCGATTCCCATTCTCTTTAATAGAGCTCGAATAATAACGTGACTTCCTGTGCCCCCATACCTTACCCTTCCCCCCCCCCCCCCCGTCTTGCAGGACCATATGGTATGAGCTGCACTGCCGTGAATGGCCGTACAAGCAGCAGCCGGCAGAGTCCATTATCTGGCAGGGGGGCCGTGGGTTGAAGCCGCACCTTGACAGCACTGGCATGGGGAGGGAGGCCCTGGTGAGTGGAGGCTCCATGCGTTCTAATTAGCGGTGCGATTCATATTTAATGGATTTCTAGTTGAGGTTAAAATGTGTTATGCATTATCTCTGTCAGACTGTATAATTGTTTATAACGGTGGGGGGGGGGGGGACACAATAACTTGTGTAAACATGGTCCAATATGGGGCTAAAACCGGCCACATTGTTCAGAGGGTTGCAAGCAAAACTTGGCAAGACACAAATGTAAATACGTTTTTGCCCCGACAGCCACCCGTCCGTCGGCTTGCGTACGGTTAGCTGACTACCTCCGAGGGTGCACACGTGATTTTTCTCTTTCCCATTTCGTGGACAGGAAATCCTGACAAGCTGCTGGGCGTTTGAGACCATCGCTCGGCCCACGTTCCCGCAGCTCATGGGCCAAATCGAGAAGCTGCCAAAGCTGAACCGGCGCCACTCGCAGCCTGGGGGAAACTTCTGGCGTGCGGGAGAGTAAGGCTTGTACGCTCGCTCCCTCCTCAGTCGCACGCTCGCTCTGCCCACGCTCACTCATATGCTCATCCACTCGCGACTTTGCACGCTAACAAACTCGCATAGATGCTCACTCACTTGCATAGTCATTCGCTCACACACTCACTCATTTGCACACTCACTGCCACACTTTCACCCTCACTCGCGCGCTTACAGTCAGGCCTCGACATCCATGAGGGTTAGGTTCTTGAAAATCTGCGCGAAAGGAGAACTCGCGAATGTAGATACGATATTTATATGGGAGAAAGGGGGTGAGGATTCCGAGATCAACTAAACATACAGGAGAACATTAAATTGTTTCATAACATTCCTATTGTACTGTACACATGAATAACACCCATATACGTATTGAATTCGACAATAATACGAATAGGTAATAACACAAATAATACAAAACACATGAATAAATGATACTGGAAGTTTTTAAAGTTTTATTTACCTTGGATGATGATGGGAGTGCGGTGCTGATGATGATGATTCTACTTTGCCTGGCATAGGTGCACTTGCCGCCACACTGTCCTTGATTGTCTTCTCGTTTTTCATTTTAAATCCAACTGCTGACTCGTTTACCATGTAATGGCGGCCAATGGGAAACGCAAAGTCACCATGAGCAAGTCTATCCAACTCTGCTTTTTGAGCTGCCTTTTACGCTTGCTCTCACTTCCTCCACTCACTTGATGTACAGGAGCCATGATTCAAGTAAAAAAACACCACAAATTAGGCAAAAATTGTGAAAAAGGCACCTGAAGAGTAAAAACTTCAGCATGTGAATCACGGGACATGGGCCACAATCCACTGTCCTACTGAGCAAGTACAGTAATCCTTACGAAGGAAAAAGGTGCGAAAGTTAAACTGATATACAAATATAAAATTGTGATTAAATATAATTGGACTTCGCTCAAGAAAAATCGGGAAATGAAGAGGTTTGACTGTACAGGCAGACCTGGCTTAGCTCAAGATGCATTCCTGGAGAAATGAGCGCAAACCGAATCAGCGCTAAAAGGGGCCATGATACAATTGTACGTATGGGGATTCATTCCCGACAGCATTATTTCTGTCCAGTGCATCATCTGTAAGTATTATGTACTGTACTCGCCAGTGCATCCACCTGACGCTCACCGCCGTGACCCGCCTCATCACGTGCATTGTAACATCCAAAACATCCAAAGCGATACTTTTCTTTGACACTTTGGTCAAATTTGCAGCACTAACACTTGTTGGACTTTTTCCAGACATTATGGGTCTAAAATGCTCACAAAGATGCACAGAGATACGATGGAGAGAGAGAGACCAAGGCGGAGAAAACACGTCGGCAGGGCAGTGTGTGTGTTTTTGTTAAACTGGTGAGCGCTGCGTGGCTTGGAGAGAACTGTAATAACATCTAATAACAAACAACCGTACCGTAATAACGGTGAAATCGAAACGCGGGGGGTGGGGTGCTGGTTGGCTCAGAGCGTGGGTCTCTCTGATTGGTTGAACGAATGTAAATAAATATGGCGGCTGGTGTGTTTCCTCGCTGCTTTCGTGTTCTTACTCGTTAGCGATTTTTGGATTTTCATAATTTTTTGGAGTAAAAGTTTTCCCTGGGACTAAGAGCACAATAACGAATCGGCGTTCTACGGGGTCGCACTAAGTGAGATCTGCCTGTACTCACTCACGCACGCACTAAAATATCCCTCATATAACTTTTAACAGACCGTTTGGGACAAGTGCTGTTAGCGAGCAACTATTAAGGCTAGCACGGCACATTAGGGGGCGGGTGGCCAGCACCACGCCCGGCCATATTTGTCTTCCCAGTGCTGATGTTTACATACTGCCCTGGGTACCCGTTTAAGGCTGAGTCAATCTAGGAGATGCCCAGAACCGGTTTAGATATTTGTTACCGATGTTGACTGAGCGGAATCAAACTCAGGGCGCCGGGTTTTTAGCTCATTGCAATAACCACTGCGCCACCGCTCCCCACACACACGCACACATGCGCACATGTACTCGCACACACGCACACTCTCATTGACACAGGGAAATGCGGTGCTAGCCACGCTGTCTTGCGCAGCGCCAGTCAAGTTAAATCAAGGAGAAGCTCCAGATCTCTGTGCGCTCGGAGCATCGTGAGCTGTGACTGTCTTCGTGCCTGGTCATAGGGCTCCACGGTGGCTAGGAGATGTTAACTACAATGCATCGTATACAGGAGGTCGTGGGTTCGATCCTGACCCTGACTCTATATTTGGAGTTTGCATGTCTCTCTCCCCGTGGTCGTATGGATTTTTCTCCGGGTGTTCCGATTTTTTCCTCCACATTTAGAAACATGCATTTAGAATATTTGGCTGCTATAAATTTCCACATGATAAGCGACTTGGTTGAGCTATTATTTGTGGCCAGGTCGCTTCTGAAAAAGAGCTATATAGCCCAGTAGGCCTTGCCTGGTAAAATAAAAAAGTTAAATTCGTGCCGGTTTGCGGTCTAGATCTCGCGTGCAGCACAGCGTGCATGCGTGAAACTTATGTGCATGTTATACGCATCAATTCTGCATTGTTTCATTGAAGGAAGGCGCCGCTGTGTTTCACAAACTAGTTTCACAGGAGGGGGCGATGTTGCTGCTGTGTGCGATTCCAACTCAACAACTTTAGGTACTTTTGAAATTTAGCAACTTGGACCGTGACTCCGGCACACAGGGGCCTACGACTATTCTTGAATAACGTCATGCGATCTGTAACATCCACTTTGAAGCAGATTGCCCCGTAGTATTTATGATTAATACATGCTGCATTAATAACCAGGGCAGCCTGCCGGATTCAAACCGCGAACCCCTGCAACAAGTGGCGAATGCGTTTACGCTCCATCACTGCTCACCTTTCAAGACCGGCACCCCCTCCCCGCAGCCGTTGTGTCTTCTATTCACTCCGCAGCAGCTTAGGGTGCAAGTTCATGCGTCGGCTGACTGAATGCACGTGCATTCTGAATCGGAATACTATTGTGTAGCGCACGGTGTCTACACACACACACGCAGCTATGCGTGCGTATACGGTAGTGTAGTGGTAAGCACGCTGCTCTACAAACCCAGAAACCCGAGTTCGGTTCCCGTTCACAGCCAACACCAGTGACTATTATTTGAATCAGCCCTGGCCCTCCCCTAGGTCGACTCAGTCTCAAATGAGTACCTGGTGTGGTGTGTAAACATCGCCACTTCGGGGACAAAGGCGGCCGGGTGTGGTGTTGGCCACCCACCTGCTCATGTGCCGTTCATTAGGATTAAGCTTAATATCTTTAATTATATTTACGAGATGTTCAGAGTTCAAAGTTTTTGACGAATCATCAAATAATACATTATTTAAATGCATGCCTACAAAGGGCAGCGTACTTCAATAGGGATTACCGTTGGTAGGGCTATTTTAATAAACACAATAGACAGGAAGGACAAGTTCAAAGGGCTCGCATAATGCACACGCATAATGTGCGTTGCCTCAGTAATTCCCCCCCCCCCCCCCCCCACATTGTGCAAGAGCACAGAAGGGTGGTCAACACATCTACGCCTCTAGATAAGGAACGAAACAGTAAGACTTCTCCACAAATCTGGCTGTCGCCTGATGAAGCTAGTTGTAATTACTGGTGAAACGTCGTGCTCAGCTTGTAAATGTTGTGGCTTGGCTCTCCAACACACCACTGTGCTGTAGAGATTACATGACATCTGAATTACTTTGTTTAGAAACATAAATTCCTCCGCCAAAGTGAACATTAAATCAGGAAAATCTCGCCAAACACAGGGGTGAAGTTTTGACGTTACAGTAATACCCTGATTTACATCTCCCCCTTTTACTTAATTTTGCAAATACGTCACCGATTTATTAATACCGCTACCCAATTTGCGTCACTTCAACCCATACTTACGCCACTTTCTCGTATCCATTGCCTCTCAGCCTTCACCACCACCACCACCACCTACCCTGCAAATTGCTTTGATTTACGTCGTTTCGATATTCGTCGTCGCATCTTTCAGGAACGCATCCCCGACATAAACTGGTGAATTACTGTACGTGGTTTGCCGCCGCTTAGATTCTCATCTCCACGTCGAAAAGGAGTGTGTGATTTCGCTTGTCTTGTTGTTAGAGAGGCTCGCGAGATGTGGGAGCGCTGCATCCGTTGGAAGATACTCTGGTGTGAATGAATCGACTGTGAGAACGATTTATTTACCACGTGTGCTCTTTGTGAATGGTTTTTTTGGGTGTAATACAACTCAAATTTTCACACTTTGCCGCATGGATCTAGCCGACCACTCGTTGAGGACGTCAGTCGTACGGACGCCCGGACGGTGAATCGTTAACGTTCAAGTGTCAATGTTAGGGACGAGCGTTGAGATTGAATGCCGTGGTGCGGAAAGAGTGATGGAGACCGGGGTTTTGTGTTGAGGTGACATTGAAAAGTAAATCGTCTATACACACACAAGAAATGGAGAACGACTCAGCATCCTTTAGTACAATAACAAGGATGGGGAATCGTGTAGAAATCGTTTAACAAAGAGGAAGGGGGTGATAATTTCAGACCCAAGAACACAACCCCAGTGTTCCCATGAAGTCTATTATTTGTTGAACATGGTTTTTCCCAACACGGCACGGAACGTAACCCCCCTCGCTCCCCTCCGTGTTCGGCGAGGTCTGCCTGTATCTAAAACGAAACTCACGTTTCTGTTCACTCATTTGTTCGACTTGATGGAAGTAAAATCAGACAACCCATTTCTGAGATGACACGAATTGGTCGGAGTGCGGAGCGGAGTGGCAATGTTGGCATTTGCAGGGAAATCCGTTCGCAGCGGCCGCAATGCCAGCTGATGCACATTTGTGAGCAGTGTCGGAGCGACTGACACCGCAGTGAGCAGCATTCGACAGCACCACAGCACCACTCTCCCATCCCCTACAGTGCAACTCAGCAGTCTCACAGAATATATAACTATTCATAATACATCCTTATTTACAGCC